CCGTTATGTTTGCTAACAAAATTAGACTTTCCTTTACTCACTGTCAGAATAACAAGAACTTTTGCACACGTTATAATAGGTGTTTCAGTCGTAATTGCAGTCTTAGTTGGATGTGTCGGAGCTGCTGGAGTTTCTGTTGTTAGTCTTGTGTGCTGGGGATTTTATAACATTCTTGTTTTTGGCCTTGGACTGAAACTTGAGCGCTCAGCTGAAAACATTGGCTCGCCTACGCTGCCCAGACATCAACAAAGGGACGACACAGTGGCACCTCTGTCGACGACGACCAGGAATGAAGAAATCGAGCGTCAGAACAATCCTACCACTCAAAGTTAACACTACGTTGTTTACCTTTCTTATTATTATTACTGTTATTAAAAATCGCAATTGAATACGATTATTTCATTTCTTTTCATTGAACTTGTAATTAGTCTTTTGTCACTTAGAAGCAATAGTAGTAGACGTATAAAATAGAAAAACAAAAAGAGAGGAAAGGAGCCTACAGCACCCCGGATTCCCATGTTGTCTCCAACCATAGTACTAACGAGGCCCTCAGACTTTTTCACTTAACTGCTGTGATCGGACAGGAACTGGTGTTTTCGCCTAGGAATGGCCGTAGTCACCAACATTAACTTTACCAAACTATTTGTAGAGAGAATACCTTGACAATATATGCTTTTTTCTAACGATCAATACATTTTTTAATTGTCTTCTCGTTGGGATGCATTCTTTTAGAAAACGATTTATAGAAACGCTTCATTATGAGTCTCTTCCGTTGCCGAAAAAACTGCGACAACAAATTGCATCTGGCTTTGTCAAAACCCTATAAGAAAGTGTCGGATACATTTTGGATTTTAGAAAAATAATAGAATCTTTGAAGTTAAGCTTGATTGAAAAGATCTTACATTCTTAATATAAAGTTTCTCGGATTTTATATAGGTTACTATTAAGAATCATCAACCATCAAGAATAATTCATACATTTCATAGAACTAGGAAAACTAGACAGATAGGTTTTCTTAGCTATACCATTACGGTCAATTATGTGATTCTAAAAAGGCGAATGGGCATTACTCAAATAACGTAGAAAAAACTGCAACTCTGAGCCAATTGCTTCAATTGCAAGAAGTGAAAAGCATTTCATAACCTCGTAATAAGCAGAAAAAGGAGTTCAGTTCTGCTCGTAATATTTATCCATGATGACGAGATCTAAGTCTTCCAGTCCTTCGATTTGGTGTACTATTTTGGTTTTCTATGTCTTGAAGGTTTTCATTGCTGTCTGAAAACTCGTATAAAACATCCTGGTACGTAACAAAACCAACACAATCCGCGAGTTTTCTTTTAAGGGACTTTTGGGGATCGTTCTCGTCGTAGCTACATCCATATCCCTGGATGTACGTTTTCAATTGAGTAGTTGGATTCAAATTTTCAACGTCGGAGATAGTTGTTAGCTCAGGCAGATCAATTGGAGGTTCCTGTCCATTAACAAATGGAATCGGTTTTGTATCTTTCGCGACGACTCTGTTGATAATATTTTCAGACCTCTGCGCTGAAGACCTTGTTTTGTTAACTTTGGGATCAATTTAATGGCATTGTAAATAGACATCACTCTTATTATTCAGGAAAATACTGTTCAAATTTTCAAGTTTTTCTTCTAGCCTTATTTGTCCATCTCGGAGGCTATTTTGTCCATGTTCTAGAATAGTAAATTTCTGGTTGAATTTCTGGTCAAAGGTTTCAAACATTCCACGAATTTCAGACAAGTCATCTCGTGGACGAGTCTCTCCTCGAAGTTTGGATACAAGTGCTTCATGAAGGCTCGCCAATTTGCTTCTAAACGAGTCAAACTGATCTCCAGGAATTGCCTGTGAGAATTCAGCTATGAAACGGCTTAAGGAAACATAAGAATCATCAGATGGTGGAGGAATTCCAAATGGGTTCGTAAATAAATCTTGACTCATCCTTGAAAAAGGGTCAGCGAAAGCGAAGTGTGTAGCAACTATTGGTCACAATGAAAAGGTGTTGGTTGTTGTTTTGTTTGTTTTTTAAGTTGCGACACTTGCTTGGGAGGTCCCCCTGTTGTCAAAACTACGGTGCGAATAGAGATACCTCCACTTCATTAAATGTTTAGCGAACTCGAAGGCATTGATAGTCATCGTGTCATAATTGGAACCTCGTTAACATTTATTATATAACTATCCTATATAAGAATGGAATATTAACGAATAATGATAAATATTCATTAGCTTAAAGAATTGTGCTTGATAATAAGTAAACAAAAAATTGAAAATGCAAATTTCTCTTTGAATGCAGAACATACGATTAAAGATTTACTAACGTATGGTTATCAGTACTATTTAAAAATTAGTAAGATTTGAAGTTTTACAGCGAAATCTTTAGATCGGAAGATTTGACTGATCAGGCTAAATAAGATTGACACTTAGTCGTTTTCATTTAGTTAATCAGATCCCTGGACATATTACTATCACTCTACGTAGTACTAACACGTCCAATTATAATAGACAACTTTGTAATGGTACTTATTACTTCCACTCGATTTACATTCTCATAACGTGTGAGATTTCTCCCGTGACACATCGGACAGGACGCTGGTATTGCAAAAAGGGTTTTGTTAGGATTATACATATTAGTATAGTATTCGATAACGAAATGTTCCTCTAATAGCAACACAACGGCTTGAGAGTAGTGGTAAAGGTCATTGAAAAATTCTCCGTAACCATCTTTATTGTAATAACCTAGGCTGGCCATGGAAAACAGAATAAATCTTTGAGATTGGTGATATATGAAGATGGGGCTTTGTCCTTACACTACTGCTTATTCTCTTCGTTTGACCAAAAGACACTTTTACTTGTGATTGTTTAGAAAACGAGGTATTGATTTACTATAAAAACAGGATAATAATAAACAAACAAGAGTGGTATAAAATTCTGTAGCAAAACTTATACGTGTCTTTACTATTGTTTTATTGTTGTTGGTAGTGCTGTTTCGGCATTACAGTATTTTTGTATAATTAGCGTCGCAGGATACTTGAAACTTGAGATGAAACTATATGCACTCATACCAATTTAGTCTTATTCTTATTTTGATTTTGATTAACACATTGTTAATTGTTTACTGTTGGTTGCTCCATCTATAATACATTAGGCATGGCGATAAGAAGCACAATTACGATGTATAGGAATTAGCTAAAAACAAGTTTTCAGACAAACCGTTCAAAAAATGAAAAAAGAGGGAAAAAAGAAGAGCCTACAGCACCCCGGATTCCCATGTTGTCTCCAACCATAGTACTAACGAGGCCCTCAGACGCTTAACTGCAGTGATCGGACGGGAACTGGTGTTTTCGCCTAGGTATGGCCGTAGACACTTATCGGCCTTTTATTAAATATATAAATATAAATTATCGCATCTTACAAGATTTCCCTTAACTTTTCCTGCCTAATCAATCATGTATCATTATTTACTGTAGACATAATGTTACTTTATGAGTAACCTTCCAAATTTCAAGATACTATTCGATTTGCGTTTCGTATTTATTCTTCCTGTGTATTCATGTTTCAATGGTATGTGGTTCCTTTGATAAGTTGTTTTATGATCAGATTTTGATGTGAGAATCAATATACAAAATTTTTCCTATGGATACTAAAAATACTTTCACAATGGAAAAGGACTAAGCCTTAGATATTGTATTATCTTCATGCTAAAGGCTTTTTATTAGTTTTGTATTTTCAGACTAAGTGGGAAAACCTATAACTGATGACGATACGACCGACGTACACAAAAATCAGCATACGATAATGCCTGTTCGGAAAAAAAATAAACATTGAATAATCCACATTCATCATAGATAGAGCTAGAAAAACTTCAAAGAAACCAGATATACTGAGATTTACACTGTTTCATTTGACGTTGATTACGACAACAGGTATGATGACAGTATTCACAAATGTTGTGTTTGCCTTGTTTTTATTGCAAGTGCAACCAGGAACTGTAATTAATGCATAATTAATACAAAATTACAATTCTAAGACAGATTCATGCCCACAATTCAAAATGTTTATACTGGAAGAAAAACCAGAAAAGGTTTACAACAGATCTAAGGATGTTCCCTGCCCTGGTTCCTTTCGGAACATCGTTAGATACACGAGAACACAAGAGAATAGTAATAGTTAAGTTCTTTTAACCGCCAGAGATTTCAACAACTTGCTAGGACCTGCCTCAGTGAGATCTGGAATCAATCACAGACCATCATAGATCTGATATATGTACGACTGATTTGGATGGACAGAAGACAAGTAAAACTAAAGAGAAAAAAGGATTGTTAGTAATTTCATGATAGTAGCTACCATCTGATTAGTTAGAGATTCCTTTCTCTGAACACACAACCGAACTTGCAGACGCTCATGCAAAGAACGTCTTTCAAAGCATTCACCTAAAGCATGAATGGAGGGAGGGACTTCAATGGGTTGCCGATTCTGCCATACGCTGAAATTGCTGGCTTAGCAAAACTATGGTGCTTCCATAGGGAATGTAAGAGATAAAGAAGGAATTGCACATAATTTAACATTTGCTGAAAAGACACTCAACCTGATATATGACCCATTATTAGGATTGGAGAAATTAATGACGGGGTGTTTATGATTTGGGTTAAAAAAGTGAAAAGCTGGTCCTTAAAGTATTTTACCTACGAAAAATTGTAGGAATAATGAAAGAACCTAATAGAAAAGTACTCTCTGTCCTATTATTGAATATCCTTTTGTAGAGGAGGTTTAGGAGGCTTTTTCGTTTATATCTGGCAACGAACGTACTAACTTCAGTGGATGATTTGACTGTTTCAACAGCGTTTGTGATACAAGAATGCAAATGCTCTTTTCGTAAAGATCAAACAAACGGGCTCAAAACAAGGAATCATGTTGCCAGCATAATAAAGAAGGCCAACTAGAATCTCTTCGTTTTGATGAAATTGATGACCCTCTTATTGTCCATTCGGTAGTCAAATTAAATCTAGAGTTCCATGTCGTTCAGACCGACTAATCAAGAACAATGAATAAAGGCAGATTAAGTATTGCCAATTATATATAGCAGTATATGCTGGTACCACGGCGGACGTCAGATCTATTAAGTATAACATAACATTGAAAAACCCAAACTTTTGTAACTCGTCAGGCGGATGATTCAAGTACTTTGCAACACCAAAAGTAACTAAACATAATCCAAATATTAAGATCTAGAATTTCTTTCTCAGGAATCATTTCGCAAATGTATTTTTTCGTTTGTTTCCAGTCAGCAGCACTGAAAAACAAATACTGACGAATTAACTAGAATGCTTTGTTGAAGAAGAATAAACCCAATTTCTATTTTGAAATATAGTGAAATATCCTTTCATTCCATATTACTAGTAAATGTTCAAACGGTCTTGAAACCAAGCAGTTGGCATTGTTGTAAAAAAAAAAAAAAAAAAAAAAAAAAAAGAAATCTGCTCCGCAGAACACACCATACAGAAAAGAAAAACTAACCCGAATTTTATTCCAAAATTTTGTATATTTTTGTTTCTTCCTTTCTACATTGTTGAAAGGAAGACCTGACCTACAAATCGTAGCGACTCTTAAACTAGTAATTTCAAAATTTGTGGATTCGTTCTTTCTCAGGGAGTGAAATGGTTTCGTACTAGACAACAATTTTCTGTTCATTTAGGTTTGTTTAATTCTTATTTCTTTAGACATTTTTTCCTTTGTTAAAGGGAGTTATACCCTTATTTTGTCATTCGTTTCAATACAGGTTTTTACTTATTTTTTGTGAATTACTGTTACCAAAACCGTAGCAGAATTCTCTTTACTCCATCATTATCTGTTTTTTTACTCGATCATCCATAGTATGGCTGGAAAAGTATTTCTTCTTCCCCAAAATTCCAAAAGTCAACAGTTGGTAGAACTTTTACACCCAGTTACCAGACATGCCCTCCGATATTTATTAACTTCTGACCAATTGTTGCACATTCTAAAGGTTGGTGACTCTAATCAGCGACGTTCTTGGTTTGTAGGAGATCATATTGTCTCTGACGGACACGTCTATATATGCACTCCAGTAGATTTAGTGATTTTTATGCTCCCTGTGCTTCAGGAGTTGACTTGGAATCGTCGATCTGAACCCTGCCGTTTCATATCCTTCGATGATATATTGGATCATTTTAATGCCCAAGGGGCTCATTATTCACGAGTTAGTCGAGTCCTTGAGTCAAAGCTAGAAAATACCGTACATCGCATATGTAAAGTCAATGCAGCAATAGGATCATTGCCAAGAACTTATCAACTAGATAAAGATGCCGTGATTCAGATGCTTCATCGAAAATTAAGAGTTGCTGAAGAAAACCTGCCAACTAGTATCATTCGTGAGCTGAATCATCAGTTAGCACCATTAGATTTGGACAGCCCTATTCCTGGAGACATGTTCCAGTTGGCATGCAAAGAGCATGCTGCATATCTTGTTTTTGAAGACTTTTCCAAAGACTGGTTTAATCAGATAGCTTCTTGGGAGAAAGAATTACTATCTTTGCATATATACGTGGAACAACTAGCCGAAGAACGGAGAAGACTGAAAGAAAAAGAAGAAATGTTGGTTTCCCGGAAACGGCCTCTTGGTGTAAATAATGACTCAAATGCCATAAAGTCAAAATCTACAAAGGGTAATAGTGGGACTAGGAAATCTAAGCAGTTTTCTGGAGAAGGCATGGCAAAAATATCTTCATTTTTTCAAAAAAAATAAGATACCCTTTTCTATACAACCATCACGCTACTTTTTTAGTGTTTCTAAAAAGAGAAAGTGAAAAATACTTTTCGTTTTTCTGAATAAGATTGTTATTTAACCTTCATTTGTTCCAAAATTGTAACTATATTTTATTTTATCCTTCTGTTGCTTCCATTAATGAAGCCATTTGGATCGAAAATATTCAAGTTCGTGAATGCTTTCCATGATATCAGACAATGCACGGTGGTCTCCTTTTTTCTCGTAGGGACGAATATCAGGGCGCCAACGTTTCGCTAATTCTTTGATAGTAGAAACATCAACAATACGGTAGTGCAAGTGCTCAATAACTTTGGGCATTTCAATGGCTAGAAATCGAACGTCAGCATGAACGCTGTTTCCAGCAATGAGAGCTACACGTTTTTCTGAGACATATTTTTTAATGTAATTCAATAGCTGTCTTTCCACTTCTTGAACGGAAAGAGTGCTTGTTCTGCATTTCTCAGTTAAACCTGATTTGCCATGTTGCTAGAAGTTAATATTAGCATTTCGTGCCAAAAATCTTTCTTACCGCTATACACCATTCATTCATGGAAGCTAACTGCTGATCACTGAGATGAATCACCGCATCAAAGGACTGTTTATACAGTTAGATAGCACGTCAAGGTAGCCAAAAAATAATTTCTTTGATCCTCCCTCGTAAACCTCTTTTCAGCTTTTAAGGAAAAAAGACTAGGAAGAGTAAAAGGAGAATAAACAACTATACCTCTGAAACCGGTTTCAAATTACCATCAGTAATAATAGCGGCCACTTCCATTAGAACGTCTTTACCAGCCTCTAGGCCGGTCATTTCTAAGAACCCTGTCAGTCTCTCCTTGAACAAAGTATGTATTTCATTGCTTACCACAATCGATCCAAACAAGAGGATTGTCAACAGAAGACATGTTTGTAACTAACGGTGAGTACAGGGAGTGGAAAGATCCTTGATAGAAAATTAGCCAAAAAGATTCACATGACTTGACTTGTATGTATTCCTCGTACTTGACAATTTCAACATACTTGAAATACAAGCTTGGTAAGAAAGTGGTTGCAACTTGTTCAATCGAATTTTTGTCTGCCAAAACAAAGGTATGACAGATTTAGAAAACAATAATCTTTTAGAAAAATACTTTAGCTCAAAGAATGGTTTTGTTTTCAAACAAAACATGAACGAATCCACACCTAACTTTATCGTTTTTGAGACTTACTTACAAGTTTTGGTTTTTTTTTCTAATCCTTTTTAATTAAAAAATTAATTTATTATAAATGAAAAATCAATCTTTGTAAAGAAAGCAGCGTATATTTGAACTAGCGGTGATCTCGAAATAAGGACTCGCTGCGTGAACTGCACTTCCTCTCACGTACCTTCCGTGCAACAAACGTACCCACTTCCATTGACCCATTTTAAGTAGAAAAGACCCTATAAAGAAGAGTTATTCTTTTATAAATTAACGGGTCTTTTCATTAAAGAACTAACTTTATTGGTAGTCGTGTAAAAAGACGACTTTAGAGTGACATTCTTGTATGAACAAAGAACGTGCTGCATTTGCCAAAACGAATTAACGAAAAGAACGCTGAAAGATGACGGGACAGGCAAATGTTGTAGGCATCCATTATAAAGTCGGCAGAAAGATTGGTGAAGGATCTTTTGGTGTCATCTTTGAGGGGACGAATTTATTGAACAACCAACAGGTTGCTATTAAGTTTGTAAGCTCATACGAACGATGAGGAGTTTTAAAGAATAAAGAAATTTACTAACGATACTTTTTTCAGGAACCAAGACGTAGTGATGCTCCTCAACTCAGAGATGAATATCGCACATATAAGCTCCTGGCAGGATCTCTGGGAATTCCCAATGTGTACTATTTCGGACAGGAAGGCCTTCATAACATTCTAGTCATTGACTTGTTAGGCCCTAGTTTGGAAGATTTGCTCGATTTATGTGGCCGCAGATATAGCGTCAAAACCGTTGCTATGGTTGCTAAGCAAATGATAGGTCGTGTCCAGGCTATCCATGAACGAAGTTTGGTATACAGAGATATCAAGCCTGACAATTTTTTGATTGGACGACCCAACACCAAGCATGCAAATATGATCCATATCGTCGACTTTGGCATGGTAAAGTTTTACCGTGATCCTGTTTCAAAGCAGCACATTCCCTATCGAGAGAAGAAGAATCTTTCAGGTACAGCACGTTATATGTCTATCAACACCCACTTAGGCCGAGAGCAGTCTCGACGGGATGACTTGGAGGCACTTGGTCATGTCTTTATGTACTTTCTTCGCGGAAGCCTTCCCTGGCAAGGTCTCAAAGCTGCTACAAATAAACAAAAGTACGAACGCATTGGGGAAAGAAAGCAAAATACCCCTTTGCGAGAACTGTGTGCTGGATTTCCGGAAGAATTTTATCAATACATGCATTATGTCCGGAATTTGCCTTTTGAGGCTACTCCCGATTATGAATTTTTGCAATCCCTATTTCAAAAAGTGCTACTTAAAATGGGCACGAATGATGATGGCGGTTTTGATTGGAATTTACTGAACAATGGTAAGGGCTGGCAAAGTTTACGCAGTGGCCGAAGCCATGAAGCGAATACGCACCGCCCAAGTAAAGCTCCTGCTCCCAAGCAAGATCCAAAAGCTTTGGGGCCTCAGAATCGCTTGAGCACCCGTAAACTTGTATCCAACTCGTCGGCAATGGAACATGGTAATTCTCAGACGCAACCCAACTCATCTAATGCACAAGATTCACCGGAAATAAACGTCCTAGGAAGTGAAAAAAATAGAATTGACAAACCTCCCCTTTCAAGAGATCAAGCTGGCGTACGGCCTTCGCAGGGCGTGCCTCAAGAACAGCAGGTGCCTAGAGGAGAGGTTCCAGCGGTTAATGGCGAGCAAACACGAAGGCCCGATAAATATGTTTCAAAAGAGACATCTGGAAATAAGAAAAGATCGTTTTGGAAAAGTCTGCTATCTTGTTGTGCTGCCCCAGCCGAAGGTAAGAATTAGTCAAAGACAAAGCTTTGCTAACTTTTAGACGCTTAAGCTTAGCCTTACTCGATAAGGTACGATATTATGTCTACTTCACCTTCTACGGTCCTCTATCGGTGTACTGTTTATAACTTTCTTTGCTGTTTTACTTCCTTTTTAAAGTACATAAGTAGCAAATGCACTTTCCAAGACACCTCTGGATCATATTGACTATCCATTGATCTAAACAGTTTTCTCCTTTTACCTTTTGTATACGCTATTTCTCTTTTTTTAATGAAGAAAATATTGTGGACTCGTTGTTTCTGCTATCCTATTTTTTTGAAAAAAACTTCTACTAAAAGAGACGAATTTGAATTTGCACGAAACGCTTTGAGGCTCTTTCATTACAATTCTCTGATGTTTCTCTTTATGTGGCTTTTCCTCTTTTCCTCTCCGTAAAAACTGTCTTTTTGCGTGTGTTGCTTTTAATTTTGCATCTATAACATTACATTTCGTTTCTGCAAATGTGCTTGTTGTATGCAACTTAGCTTAACGTTCTTCCTAAGTTGCCGCCGCGTTCACCTCTTTAACTCAATGACTAACTAACGACTCGGTTGAAACTGACATGTAAAAGCCTTTTTGTAAATATTATTTGAATTATGCTAACTATGTCGCACATTTACGATATTTTGAAGCAAATGTTGATTTTCGTTCGTAATGGGGTTGAAAGAGTCTATATCGTTGCAAAGTTGTCATGAATGTGCATTTCTTTCCTTGGGATTTTCTCTCTTATACTAATTAATTGTTTGTTTTATTTTTCGTTGGGCAATATTCATTAATTAATAGAGCATGTGACATGTATCAACTTAAGTATTCTCAGTACTGGTCAACCCAAACTTATAATTTGATTTAGTAGATATAAACAAAACTCCTTCCCAAGTTGTACAGAGATTACTAGTAGCTTCTGAGTAACTGGTTTGCCAAACGTTCTACTTCGGATTTCCCGAGGGTTGAGCCACGGAATTTCCGTTACTAGAGGTTCTTTTAGAAAACACGGCGAACGAAAACACACAAACAGCCAGTTGCCTTAACAGAGGATTCACCTCGTAATTAAGGTATAGATACACGTTCCCTATATGCATTTCAATCTTTTACATATAGTTATCGGGCTATTTCTCTGTTTTCGGACTATTCTTGCCGCTGCCGATTACTACAAGGTAAACAAGCGATTGAATGGTTTTAAGCGCTACAGAAGTTTGGATTTGTTTGCTGACAAGATAATGAATAGGTTTTGGGAGTGGGTAAAGATGCCTCTGAAGCAGATATCAAAAAAGCATACCGTCAATTAACAAAGCAATGGCATCCTGACAAAAATCCGTAAGTAAAGGATCATCAGAAAGAGTAGAAGCTCTTTCGTAAAAAAAAATGCAAAAGTTAAATGGAAATACTTATTAACCAGGTAGTGGAAATGAGGAAGCTCAAGAAAAAATCATTGAAATAAACAAGGCTAACGAAGTACTCTCGGACCCCGAACGACGAAAAATATACGATGCATACGGTGAAGAAGGATTGAATGGTCAGCCACAAGGAGGCCCTCGCGGAGGCGGGTTTGGTGGATTTCCTGGTGGTGGATTTGGATTTGACCCTTTTGCTGACATCTTTGAAAACATGTTTGGGGGACGCCGTCGTCAAAATGCCGTTCGTCGTGGTCCAAGCATTGAACAAGTTGCTCAAATCGATCTTTCCTCTTTCTATACTGGTGGTATCATGGAAATAGAATTACCCGTGAAACGCATTTGTCACGTTTGTCACGGTAAAGGATATAATCCCAAGTATTCCGAAGAAAAAGCAATTCATTCCTGCCCCATTTGTGGTGGAGTTGGATTCCGAGTGTTAGAACATATGATTGCGCCTGGTTTCCGTCAACAGATGCGTATGCCTTGTGATGCGTGTGGTGGAAGAGGCCGTACTATCAAGCACAGATGCCCTCATTGTAAAGGAGAGCGTACTGCCGAAGTACGAGAGAAATTCACGGTTGAGGTACCCCCTGGTGCTCCTCAAGATTTTCGAATTACGTTTTCTGGTAAATCGGATGAAATCCCTGGACTTGAAGCTGGTGATGTAGTTATTATACTTCAGGAAGCTGGTGAGCAACTTGGTTGGGTTCGTAAAGGCAACGATTTGTACAGAAAAGAAACGATATCATATCAACAGGCACTTTTAGGTAACTGGAAGAAAAAGATTCAAAAATTAGATGGATCGTTCTTCGAAATCAAGCGCTCTGCTGGCGAGGTAATTCATCCCGGTCAAATTGAGCGTATCAAAAATCAAGGAATGCCTATCTACAATACCCAAAAAGGTAAAACTACATCAGCTATTGGTAACGCCTTCATAGAGTGGGAAGTAAGGTTCCCCAAGAAATTAAAAGGAAAATTCTTAAAGGGTATGTATACTCATAAAACGGTTTCCCATATGACAATTGCTAATTTGCTTTAGACTTAAATAACTTATTCTCTAAATACGAGGATGTGGATGAGTTGTAATAAAAAGGAGAACTTTTTGTCTCTTAACTATTTAGACTTTTGTAACAAGTTTATATGGATATCTTGTTGATGATTCCGCCTATGCACTACTGTTTACGGATGCTTTACGAAAATTGGTCATTCTACTATAAAATAAATTCAAAATTATATTCTTATACTGATCTTATCGTGCAGTCTCTTTTCTTCTAGTCATCTAAAGCTAGAGATTATCTTCGTAGTCATCTCCAGTCTTGTAGATTCTTAAATTTTGAAAAAATCGTCTTTCTTCAGTATTCTCCATAAATGGAGCGGTCCATATATGACCATCAGCATGTTCTCTTGCAGTGTACTGTTTAGGCCAGTCGGCTTCCTCATCCTGCAACAACATAGGGCCATCGGTCTTTGGAAAAGGAACAGTTTCAAGATTAAGGACGACGTTTTTGGTAATCTCACCGAGTTCTTCGGCCAAGTATCTCCTTTTAAAGAAACGATAAATGCGCTTTGGGGTATTAGTGAAGCCGAGAAGGTGTGGTAGGGGGAAAAGAGCGACAAGATCAATTAGCCCAGGAGGCACATCTTCATTAACAGTTAGATTTCTACTAAGTGAAATGTCTTCTGCAGGAGAAGCCGATTTTTGCTCCGAGGTTTCTGATGACTCAGAACCATTTGTCTCCTGCGGATTTGATTGAGGGATTTCGGTGGTTTCTGGGTTTTCTTTGGGTGGTTCTTGTTCCTTCTTCATTTCATTTACTGCTTTTTCATGATATTCATCGGAGAAAGCATACTTAATTCCATAGAGGAATTCTTTCAAGGCATGTCTACCGAACAACAGATTAACGCTAGGTTCCTCACTTTCTTTCAAAAATGACTTAAGAAATTTCTCTGCTTCAGGTACGTCTGAAATCCCATTTCTTTTTTTCCAAATTGATCTTGCAATTTGTTCTAGTAAATTACCCTCCCCTTTGGATTCAAAAACTTCAAAGTCTACAGCAGCAGCATTTAAAATTGGACGAACATATTTTTCAAACTCTTCTCTTGCTACCCATATTCCGTCGCCAGGAGGACCATGAAGGTATACTCGAACTTTTCTCGGCAAAGCTTGAGGCTCCAAAGGTGCTTTTGAAAGATGAGCTACCTGGGAGCAATACTTTTGAACAGTTAAATTTCTTTGGTGAGTATCGTAGTAAATACCACCGGATATGCAGCCCACCACTCCCAAAAAAATTGACATATTCCTGCCAGGCAAGTAGCTCTTCATAGTATTCAGCATCGAGGACATGGTTGCCAATACTAAAATAGAAATAATCTAATATAAAACAAGGAATTGCCTCTTGTTAAGATTTCGTGGAGGCCTTGGTAGTTTGAAATTTTACGAACGACTTCGTAAACGGTTTATCGTAACCAGATATAATAGATGACTGAACACTCCAGCAATACGAGAGCTTTATAGGATAAAATAGAATATCTAAGAAAATGCCTTTTCTACTCAGAATAGGGATATGATGAATTAGTTTAATAGTATGTGCGAAGTTGGGAAATGTTGGTTTTCCACGCCAATGTTTGTGTCCTCTGTGTGTAAAGAATTGGTCCTTTGATGATGCTCAGGAAGGACAAGAACTTTCTTAACATGAGTTAATAGACCTTAGCTTTTCTTGTTTTACTCTTCCAACTACGTTTTGTTTCATTTTTACGAATCGCGGAATGGAAACGTTTTAACTCAATACTTGGGTTACTTTCTTTCTCTTTCTTTGGGCTTTATTGATCAGTATTTATATTTTCGAGTCGCATAAAATTTTAGCTATGTAAGTATGCTAAACTTGTATTCTGGTATATTTCGCAAATGGGAGAAAAGACTGCTTGATAATTTAAAGATATTCATTAGAAGGAGAGAAGTTTTAGGTTCTATAACGCGGGCCCGCAAGCGGAAAGAGGATAAGAGACTAGTTGATGAGGAAGATTTCTTGGGATCGATGTTTTACAACAAAACAGTTGACTTCGCCTGTAGCTCTTTTTGTTTCTGCTCCTCTGCGATAGTAGAGAGAAGTTGCGCTTTATAGGCCTCTGCATTGGATGTAAAACTTTGAGAAGGAACATTTTTTACTTGAAGTACATTCTGCTCGTTTTCTACGGTAGGAGAGGGATTACTCTCCGAAAGCTGAAGCGAACTAGAAGAACTTTTCATGGGAGTATCATCAAATTTTCTTTCTTCAATGGATAGCGGAGCCAATAGTCTTGTCATGGAATCCATGCATTGGTGCATGACTTCAGCAGCATTCTTTTTATTATAAGCGGCGGGATTATCGCCCGGGTAAACAACGTCGTCATTAATCATGTCTACTAAAAGCCGTGCATAATATCCGAGAGTCATTTGTTTCTGAGCTCGAATTTGGAACGCATCCATCATTTGCTGGAACGACGACTTCATAACTTCTCGGATCTTGTTATCCAGTTGCATTTCTCCAACGAGATTTTCGGCTTCCGTACGAACCAATTGGTTTTGTAGGTCTATCAGACGGGGAGAAAGTGGATCCTTTTCTTCTTCTTTTTCAATGGATGCCACTAATCGTTGGCGATGCGCCCTTGATGGAGCGATGCTATCTTCCATGTCACGAATTCCTTTCAATTTCAGTCGGCTTTCATCAAATTGCTTCACGAATTCCAATTCACTGTCACCAAGCTCACTGACTAAAACGCCTAATTTGTCACTAATGTCATTTATACTGAGGCTCCTAGTTCTGGATCCCCAATCACTTAAGTAGCCCCCAAACTGACCAAGACCCTTTCCAGCTTGACGATAAGCATCCACAGACGACTTTCCTGATTTAATCATGCGATGGCTTCTCTTGGAATCCTCAGTATGAGATAATTCCTTTAGTTTGCTTATAGAAAATCCTACTAAATTAGACTCTGCTGCATCCTAGACTATTTTTATAAACTTACCACCTTTATGAAGGCCTTTAACAAGGCCATTCTCCCGAAGAGACTCTCTTCGTTGCATATTTAGGTGCTTTGATCTAGATATGTGTTTTGTTTACATTCGCTGCCACTATATACTATACACCCCCAGTTCGTCTGACGAACAAAACATAAACAAGGATCAGTAATTGTGTAAACAAACATCAAAACAATAAACACCACTTAGTGAAAATACACTTTCTTTTATTTTCATACGAATTAAAACAACCTTTCTGACTACTTGCCTTCCAGACTAACTATGTTTTACGATATATAATATTTGAACTGTCGATACCATGTACTTTAAAATACTATCATCCATACTTCTTACACCTTTTAAAACCTACAGCCACCAATCTATACGAGTATTAGTTGATATGAACCCAAAATTGTAAAATCCCAATTTATCCAGAAACCGATACCATCCTAGTATCTACCCTAAACTATTTTTTTATGACCCAAAATTAGGTGTAACTGATGTTAATATCGAATCCAAAACATCGATGTAATTATAATATCCATTTAAAATTTTGGAATGAAGAGTAAATCCCGGGACTATCGCTTCAGCGATAGCTTTAGTGTACACGGACAAGCTTGACTTCAAAGACCAAAGTAGAATTCTTAGGAATACCTGGAATGCTCTGATTACCGTAGGCCATAGGAGCAGGAATGACAATCTTACGTTCACCGCCTTCATTCATACCAGCAACGCCGATATCCCAACCACGAATAACTTCACCACGACCCAAAAGGAAAGCAAAAGGTTTACCCTTGGTATTCTTATCAAACACCTTTCCGTTTTCAAGCTTACCAATATAGCGCATTTCGACCTTCTTGCCATTAGTAGCAGCAGTACCGTTTCCAACCTTAACATCAGTAACGGTAACACCTCCCTTTAATGTGCGAGTTTTAGGTTGTTGCTTTTGTTCTTGTTGCTGTTCCTTTTTGGCAGCAGGACCAGTGGGACCTTGCTCGAGTTTCTCAGCAAAAGCTACCTTTTTCTCTTTGTTGGACTTCTCGGTCTTTTGCTTCTTGTTTTCATTCTTTTGAGGAGAAGCAGTTTCTTCTTGATTAGTGCGCTTCTTCTTAGGTTCCTCAACCTTTTTGGCGGGAACATTGTCTAACTCATCTTCTTCAGATTCTTGTTCCTCATCGTCTTCCTCTTCTTCTTCCTCAGAATCTTCTTCATTCTCGTCCTTTTCGTCGCTCATGGTGTCAACCAAATCATCTTCACTGGGAGACAAGTCATAGTCTTCGTCGTCTTCTTCATCATCACTGTGATCGTGATCTTCCTCTTCGTCGTTTACTAAGAAGTTACCAGAAAGATGGACAGTAGCGTCTCCTGAAGTTCTGAAAAAAACCTCATCTCCAGGGGTGATGGTCAAGTTCAAAGGTTGCTGGTATAAAGAGCCAGGCTTCAAGGTGCACAAAACAAACTCACGCTGGCTTTCTTCGAGGAGCTCCTTCATTTGCTCATCCATTTCTTCATCTTCCTCTGTATCTACAGGCATACTGGGGCGAACCTTGACCCAAAGAGTTGTGGTCTTGTTAGATTTTTCACTAGCATCGACCGACGCCATTGTCAAGTGAATTGATGCGTCTGTGGATTCCTCTACAGCAGGAATATCATTTCCTTTAACAGAAAGGCTATAAACGGCAATTGGAAGAGACATTTTCTATTTAAACCTTGGAGCTGAGGTGGTGGAGGATGGAAAATTTTGACCCTTAAAAGGGTGTCTTCTAACCAGACGGGGAAGGGTAATGCACGTCTGACTTGGCGCGTTCGGCTTTAATTAAATGCACGGAGAGCGCGCATCACAACAAACAAAAAATAAAAAGTCTCTGATTTTGCATTTATTTCACAAAGGGTGTTGAAGTCGTGCATAAGAAATATTTTTTGACTACTTTTTTGAAGGGAGGATATGTTGGCCTTTGAGTTTTCTTGTTGTTTTTTGGTTCTTTGGATAAACATTAGGTTTCTGTGATACGTAAACAGACTTTAACAGGAAGTAGTTTAGACGTCTTCTTCTTCTTCCTATTTGCTTTAATAAAGTTGCTGCTTTGTTAATTGAATGCCATACTATTTGTTTCTCGAAAATTTTTTAGGCTTTGGTTTCTTCAGCAGTATCAGAGTTCATTGTATTTGAGGATGGCTTTGCAGCGAAAAAAGCGAGAGCATCCAAGTGGAAATGCTGATTTTAATGAGATCGAGGACGAAGCTTATGAGAGTGTAGGGTTTCATGACTATGGAGATTATTTTGAACGAAAGAAGAGAAAACTGCAAAACCAGAATGCTGCACTCTATAAGGATATGGAAGATTCATCGAAATCAAACCTTTTTGAGGGACTCAGTATGGCCATAAATGGTTATACAAATCCTTCGTATTCAGAGTTACGAACGATGATAATTCAAAATGGAGGAACCTTTGTGCAATATGTGGATAGAAAAACAAGCATTTCTTTCCTCATTTGCTCATTTTTAACACCGTCAAAGGCTATTCAATGGAAACACCATAAAGTAGTGACTCCTCAATGGATAGTCGATTGTGTTCGGCAACAAAAGCTTTTACCTTGGATGAACTATCGTGCTGTTCAGCCTGCCGCTTCACAGTCTTTACTTGCTTTTCCTGATGCTTTCAAGAAATATGATCCCCAAGTGTCTGAGCAGCTTCATGAATCCTCGGAAGTCGAAGGACAACCTCAAGATGCGCTGCCAAGTTATCATTTAGAACAGACAGAGACAAAAGAAAACAAAGATGAGCTTTCCAATCGTCTAGATTCTCTATCTAGATCAGCGTTGCACAATTATCACCTATTAAAAAATCCAAACATTCGAAAATCCACTACTCAAAATCCAGAGTTTCTTCAGAAGTTCTTTGATTCTTCTCGGTTGCACCATCTTAGCACCTGGAAGGCTACTTTAAAAGAGGAAATTCAAATTATGACGGCTTCTTCTTCTAGCCTTACTTCTACAGGGAACATAAAGAGCGGAAATAAGCAGCATTATATAATGCACGTTGACTTTGATTGCTTCTTTGCCTCAGTGTCTACTAGAAACGCACGTGAGCTACAGCTGAAACCTGTGGCTGTTGCCCATGGTATACGAAATTCGGAAATTGCTAGTTGTAATTATGAAGCTAGAAAGTATGGGATTAAAAACGGAATGTTTGTTTCTACGGCCAAGAGTCTATGCCCTTCTTTGGTACTTGTAGATTATGATTTCGATGCATATGAGTCTGTTTCACGAGAATTTTATTCTGTTTTAGCCGACACTCCTAATGACTGTTTGAAAGTAATTAGTATAGACGAAGCCTTACTTGATTTAACAACTCATGTTGATTCTTTCGAGGAATGCACCAAGGTCGCAGAGTCCATTCGTACGCGAGTTAGAACTAAAACGAATTGCGATGTCAGTGTGGGTATTGGATCGAACGTTTTACTAGCAAGACTTGCTTTACGGAAAGCAAAGCCGCACAATATATTTTACATTAAGGATGAAGATGCATGTGAGTTCTTGCAGTGTCTCTCTGTTCAAGATTTACCCGGTGTTGGTCCCTCGCAGTCTTTCAAGCTGTTTGACTTGTATGGCGTCAAAACTGTAGGAGACTTACAACAAATAAACAAGCATGGTCTTCAGGAAACATTTGGTGTTAATTATGGATTGCACTTGTACAATATAGCTCGAGGAGTCGACACTAGTCATATAAGTAATGAAACCCCGCGTCGGTCTGTCTCTGTCGACGTGAATTGGGGGGTTCGTTTTATATTTTTGGAAGATGCAATGGACTTTTTGAAACGCCTTTTAAAAGAGTTACTAATTCGCATGTCCAAATGCGATGTCGTGTTACATCAACTTCAACTTCGGGTTTTAAAGCGAGCAGAAAATGCTCCGTTTGATCCTGCTAAATATTTAGGTGCCGGTGAAGTTACGACCTTGACGAAATCTGCAATGTTTACTTCTGCTACTAAGTCGTTCGATATCCTTTTCAGACAGGTAATAAATTTATATACATCTCTGAATGTGGATCCGGGAGATGTGCGAGGAATAGGTCTTCAGGCATTAAAAATTGTGAAAGATGATAAAAACGAAAGAGTGTTTAACTTTAATGCGCCGCTAAAAACTCCTCATAAACAAATCCTTCCTGGTCCATTGAATGAACAGCAAGGTCAAAATCAAGGTAATGAAAACATTGAAGCTTCTTCGACATGTACCACTTTCATTCCATCAACTCCGTATGATCTTCCTTCGGCGTCGCAAGTGAGTCCAAGTGTTTTGGCCCAACTGCCTCAGTCTATGCAAGGAAACATAAGACGACAACTGGAATTGCAAAATAAAAGAGTTGATGAAATTCCAAGTCAGTTGGATCCATTATTTCTGAAAGAATTACCTACACCGATCAGGAATGAGGTAAAGGAAGATCATGAAATTACTATCAATAGACGGTTAAAATTGAAAAGTCATGTGCAGCCGAATGACAATATTCCGACGGAGACGGCGAAAAAAATTCAGCAGCAAGATGCTTTCGAAAAGATGTTGAGGCCAAACAAGAAAGTAAAAAAGCAGTACATCCCTCAAGTAGATCTTCAGGTGCTGGAAGAGCTTCCGAAAGAGATTCAAGAAACTGTACTAGAGGAAACTAAAGTAAATCGTTATGACTTAGCTCGGGAAGTAAAAATGATCCCAAATCCTGTCATTACTTTTCAGCAAAAACAATCAATTAATGAACTTCGAGAACTGCTTGCTAGATGGTACGAGAAAACACCAAGAGGTCCTAATTCTCGTGATGTTGATTACTTTTCTAAGTATCTTGGCCGTGTTATTCGAGAAGAGCGAAATTTATTAAAAGTACAAGCTTTAATTCGATGGCTCCAGCAACTGAATCGCAAAGATAAAATAGGAGCTTGGCAAATGGCAATAGAAAAAACCGTTGAGGTAGTCCAAGAAGCATGTTTTATAAGGCAAACACCTCCTCTCGTTTTGTTGTAAATAACCGCATGCGTTATGTTTCGTTTATGTTTTTTATTTTTATTTTTTATTTTTTATAATTTTGGTTAATACGTTTGTATATAGTTTTAATGGATAATTCATATCAGAGCAAGGCGACTCATATATATGAAAGTACTGGAATTTTTTCATGAGCGGCATGGCATACAAGGAACTATGTGAAAAGTAATCTTTGTCGTGGATAAAAAAGAATATACATAAGATTTTCATCTATCACTAAACCAAAGATGGAATGTCGTAGAAAATTCAAAGGAGTACAAGTGCATTATAGCCGTAAAAAAGTAATTAAGCATGGCAAAGGCCAACAAGAGATCAAAAGGAAAGAAATTAGAGGGAAGGATTGGCTTTAACCACTCAATTCATTAATCAATTGCCATTTTTTGTGGGATTCTTTGAAAAGGTATACCTTGTTGTCACCACATGATACAGCGAGAATATTGCCTGACAGAGACCAAGAAACACGCCAAGCGACGTCTGGGAACTTTTCTTCGGTTAAGGGAGTTTTTTGCCAGGGGTTTTCACCTTCCTTTGTCCATATAAAAACGTTCTTGTCCTGGGAAGCAGATGCAAGGTAAGTTTTGGTAAGGCCAACACTGGGAGCCCAGGCAACATCTCTAGTCCAGTCGACATGGCCAGTAAGAGTGTCTTCTGAAACCCAATTGTTAACATTAAAATCGAAGGCCCAGATCTTAACGAGATTGTCGCATCCTGCAGTAGCTAACTTCTTAGGACCTGTAGCAGGGGACTGACCGACGATGGAGCCCGAGAGACTTGGGGGAGACCAGCAAACGGCATTACATCCAGAATCGTGGGTGGAAAACATCCTGGTATCATACGAGCCATCATCTTTGAAATCCAAAACGGAAACCTTGCCATCCGAGCTAGCACAAGCAAGAAGAGCCCCGTACTCATGAGGAGCCCAAGAAACGGCATTGACAGAAGCTTGGTGAGCACTATGATCAATCAACTGTCTCCAGACACCATCGACTTCACGCCAAACAATTACATGGCCGTCATACGAAGCAGAAGCAAGAATGGTGCCAAATTTAGGATGGGCCCAGTCTAACTGCCAAACAGGGCCTGTATGACCATGGAGAATTTCTAATAATGTTTGTTGATTATTTTCCAAAGAGAACACCTTAATGGTATGGTCAGAAGAGCATGTTGCTAAGCGTTTTCCATAGTAATCCAATATCGCATCGTGCTACCGCAGCTGTTAGTTTCACATTTACCACCGAATCTTCGAAATATCATCCTTCTAACATATTCCTTACCATCATATCATCATGCTGTGAGTCTATTGTAGTCATTTTTCGTGAAATATCTTATTGACTAGTGTTTGTAGTTGGATACTTGGATTTCTTTCGTCTAAACATTAGAATTCTGTGTTACCCATCGCTAATGTTTACTGCTGTTTATTGTGAGTATACGTTATAGAGCGCTAATAAACAAAGAAAAGGTGCACAGACCATTACTTAGTGAGTTTGAATGCTTTGGACTTAAAGCTCTTTACTGACGTAGAAAGTACAACGTAATTTACCTAGGAAAGAACCATAGAATAAGAGTAAGAAATGTTTCTTTCTAGCGTTAGATACCTTGCAATTGAAAATTTTGTATTTTTACATAGAAAAACAGTTGAAATTGAACGGTTAAATACTCGAAAACCTGCGTGCACGAAACCTCCAAGGAGTACGAATGATCCCCTCATGAGTTGGAAATCAACATGGGAGCCTACAATAGTAAAATAAGTGATCGTGATCGAAGTATTCTAAAAATAAAGGAACAGAGAGATAAACTAATACGATACCATAAGCGCTTGGAACGAATTGAGCAATTAGAAGTGAATCTTGCTCGAAAGTGTCTAGTCGATAACGATAGAAAGGGCGCATTGAAAGCATTGTCTGCTAAAAAGTTCTATTCTGGATTGATTGAACAATCATATGGTCAATTGGGAAATATTGAGCAACTTCTTTCTTCTATAGAGTTTACACTCATTCAACAAGATGTCTTATTTGGTCTTCAAGAGGGCTCGAGTGTTCTTCAGCAATTGCAAAAGGAAATGCCTTTAGAGAGAATTGACAAGATTTGCAATGATCGCGATGAAGCTAGTCAGTATGTTGAAGAAGTCAATGTGATGTTGCAGGGTAAAATGTCAAGAGACCAAGAAGACGAAATTCAAGCTGAACTGGACGCTCTTATCCAAGAGCAGGATCACCACCCAAACGAAAGACAACTAGAGGAAAAGCACCCTACTCTTCCTACAGTTCCTCAGACAAAACCGAATTCTGCTGCGGAAGTAAATTCGGAAACCTTGTTTCATCCAGACTACATTCCATCTGCGGCTGACGACGACAAAAGGCAAGCCCTTCCAAGTTGAAGATACCTCTTTCTAAGTGGTTCCATTTCGTGTCTCTCTTTTGTTTCCTATATGTTTATTACTCTATCATTTTCACTTGCTGTTTTAAGATTTCAGTTTAGGCCTTATTTACAAAAACATCTTGTCTTGCTTTACGGCGATACCACATGATGCTTCAAATCCATATTTATTAATCAAATTCTATAAAAATTATTTGAATTATATTATCTCAAAAAAACAAAAAGAATAAAAGAGAGATTGAATTCCTAAGCAGACATTTTCAGCGCCAAAAAATTCAAACTGTCAAGTCGTAGACTGACATTTTCCATATTTAATTTTTAAAATGTCATCATAACAAAAGAATTCCATTACAAAGAGAGAGAGAGAATAAGAGCTTGAACAGAAAACGTAAACGATTTCATACAAGTATTATCGGTAGAACACATAGAAAGAGCATGAATGAAAAGATATGGCTCTTTAATGACGAAAAAAAAATAAATTAAAAAAGTAAAGAAGGATCCAGAATTATACAAATTCTTTCATGTCATACTTCACATCAAAATAAAAATTGCAAGGCTTGCAAAACCAAAGGCGGAAGCTAAAGCAGGAATTCCATAAAATTTGTTTGATAAGGAAGTTAAAGAATTGGAAGAGCTATCCACAACAACTAATAAAACACTAGAATCTGTCGACTTTGACGTATAAGTACTTGAATGACCGCTTATTGTTGCGACAGTTACTTTGTAGATAGTAGATGGTCGGTAAGTCCTGCTTGCACTAGTAACGTAGGAAGAGCTTGCTAAATGAACCGGAGAGGATAATAGACGCGAACGAGGACGAGAGCGAGAACGCGAAGATACAGATGAAGACTTTAAGTGAACACTACTCGAAGATGAAGCAGAGCTTGAAGATAAACTCGAACTGGATGAGCTAGTCGTTTTAGGAACACTTGACAATGAGGACGACGAGCTAGATCCACTTGTTGAAGAAGAAGTCGAGCTCAAAGGATAATAGGAAGAAGAAAACAATGATGATGATGACGGCGACGAAAAGGAAGAAGAGAAAGATGATGATGGCGAAAAGGAGGAAGAAGGCGACGATGACCAGGAAGAACTAACCATGGAGTCTGTTGATGAGCTAGAGCTCGGAAGGATAGAAGATGAAGAATCAGGTGATGAGGTAGATGAAGGATTCGAACTGAATTCTGAAGAGGACGATGATGCTAAAGAAAATCTCGAGGAAGTATCAGAACTGCTTTCACTAGTACTATGGCTAGTAGTGGATGCAGGAAAACTAGATAATTCACTGCTGGCGGCAGAAGCATCAGATATTGAACTGCTAGGACTTGAAGAAGTAGAAGAAGTAGAAGAAGAAAAGATGGCTTGTGAAGATGAAGGAGCAGAAGAAGATGCGCTCGAAGTTGCACTAGTACCGGCCGAAATTTCAGACGAGGAAGACTCAACGGTGGTGGACGAATCGGGTGCCGTCGATGAACTCGGTGAGGAAGAAGGCGAAGACCCACTATAAGAGCTACCATCTGAAGTTTGCACAGCCGAAGAAGAGTAGTCACTACTCATAGGACTGTTGCTGCTCGTATGGTCACTACTATAGCTACTCTTCCCCCCACCGGTTTGAAAAGCAGCTCTTGCATAACGACTGAGTATTTTTCCTTCATAACTCGATGCAGTAGGAACTAATCTGAGGGAAGTTACATTCCAAACTGGTTCCTCCTTTATATACGGAGCATTATAGCAGTGGACGACATATATAATCGCCAAGCAAAACAACAGAGAGTAACGGTTCATTAAAGCAGAACAGGTATCGAACTTTTTCTTCCGTTTATTTTAATTGAGTATTTCCTCAATCTGAACGAATTTACACCAGTTCCTCCCGTCCCTTAAAAAGAATGGTAGTAGTAGGTGTGAAGTATGGGGGGTCGAAACTTGTAAGACACCAGATTAGCTGAGTGTAATAGGAAAGCAAATATGAAACAAAGCGGCAATTCAGAGTAAGTTATAAACTTTTATTGCATCTGCTTGATACAAGCTTCTTATCACAAGCAACCAAGCCGAAGCTGCAATGCACGAACACAGCATGCGTCTATTTTTAGTTTTATTGTACTTATGATACTCAATAAATAATTACTCATTTGACGCTTAGTACAAAGGCGAGACAAATGTTACAACAAGCATCTATTCTCCAAAATTATAATTTAGATAATTAAAATAGTAATTATTTGTTCATTCCTTCACTGCCCCATCTGTCTTTTAAAAATAAAACTGAAACCAACCAAACCTTGTCTTTCAAAATTAGTAAAGACTGAAGCATTTTTCAAACTACATAGTCATCTAATAATCCGTTTTTTTTAGAGAGAGAGAACAACATCTGCGTCTTTAAGTGAATCAATCATTTCCTGGTCGAAATATCTAGTAATAGCCACGTCCTCTGAAAGACCTTTTCTTCTGCGGGTCTTTACCAAGAAATCCCTCGCCAATTCAGCTCCCCTAGCAGTCTCCAAAGGTCTAGGCTTAATCGATTTATCTAATGGGTCCCCAGGAACAATCTCCCAATGATCAAATACTTGCTGACACATAGCTTGACCTTGGGTATGGACTCTCAAATCTGTTTCAAAACCGCAAGAATCAATGACAGGTATTAAGGCCTTAACTAAATATAGAGGAGAGCCAGGACGGGGTACATCCTGAAGTACATGTCCACGACGGCGCATTAAAAGATCGTAAATAACTGGTAAGCAGTCAGCAGGTGTATGTACTTCAATCATATAGACAGGCTCCATCAACCTTGGTGAAGCAGTTAAAAATGATGAGTAACAGACTCTTCGAGCCACAGGAATAATTTGACCTCCACCTCGATAAATTGGCTCTTGAGCTAAAACGGCATCCATAATCCGAAAGTTTGCATTACGGATAGTTTCATCGCACAAAGGTCCTTCTCTTGTTCCCCATTGAAATCCTTGTTTGATAAATTCTTTAACCTGACCCAGTGTCTTCTTGTCGACATCCATTTCTAGGGTATCGTCGCGCAATATGTTTGTACCCCGATCATCAGGCCCGAAAGCCCATATAGAACGAGATGCTAAAAGATCCCAATCATATTGTCGTTGGAAAAATTCGCTTGTACGTTTTTGAGGCCAATTTATTTTCACATGGCCATTTTCGATGTCGGATGCTATTCCTTTTTCTAAAGGTTCAACGATCATTGATAACCTATTCTTCCTATTTGGTGTCTCAGCAAAGCATTTCAAGCTTGAAACATCAACTACTGTCTCACAGAAGCGAGCTACTGGATCCGAAACTCGAATTTCAATTTCAGAATACAATACCCGTAAATCGTACAAAAGACAGTCCATATATAATTCACCAGTTCCGAAAATCGTATGCTCACCAGATTCTTCTACCTTTGTAATTGCAAGAGGATAGCTCTTATTGATTTTTCGAAGCCCATCAAGCATTTTTGGTAATTCTGACGGATTATACGGTTCCACAGCAACTTTAAAAATACTTTCCGACATGTGCGCTAGTGGCCTGAATATGTATAAATCATCTTGGACTCCTTCTGATACGATTGTAGCTGTTTTACTGATAGAGTTATCTACGCCAGCCAAAAGGACAAGCATTCCAGCTGTTGCTTCTTCAATGGGTACGCGATACCTTCCACCGGGTAAGCAAATTTCTTCAATATATGCTTTTGCCATATCCTCTTCGTCTTCAACGGAATAATTTTCTCCTAATACCTGAACCTTTTGCCCTTTTCTTACTTTTCCTGTATAAATACGTGCGAGAGCATAAAAGTTGTTTGCATCAACAGTATTGTATAGCTTCGTAACGTGAGCAATCATGGTTGAGTCCTCACGGTTCATTGACGTTAAAGAACCACCAATGGATGAATTTACAGGGCCGGTGTAAAATTGATTTGCTTTATGGCTAGCATTTTCTCGAGGAGAAGGGATGTGTCGCACAATAGATTCAACTAAACCAGTTGGGAATCCAAAAAACGAAGCACAAACAAGCTGCAAAAATGGTTTAGGTTCAAGCAAAAAGTCTTTTGGTTTCAAGAAAATATTTAAAGAACGTAATTGTCGCTTTAATTTTTCCTGTTCATCGGATATACTGAGTGTGTGGAGTTTGTACAAAGGCTCTAAAATAAAGTACACGAAGCTCCGAATACCAGTCGAAAGCTTTGTAAATTTTCTGCTTTCTCTATCGAAATAAATATTACCCCATAACCGTTTTGAAAAATCATCAAGGTCTAGTTTTCCATTTTTATCCAGGTACAGTTTAGCGAAACTGGCAAGCGTAAAGCAATATCCTAAATCAAATGAAGCAAAACACACATTACCGAGTTCAGGAGAGACTCGATGTTTGGGATCCATACTAATTTGACAAATACTGTCATTAACTTCATCAATAACATGTCGTAACTTATGATATGCGTCGTTGGGAGGAAGACGAAGCTCCAAAATCAATCTATCAATTTTATTCAAGACCAATACGATTGGCATATCATGAATGACAGCATGTCGTATAGCTCTCGTGGTATTGACCATAATCTAACTCAATAATTAGCACATATTAGAAATGAATCCAAACACTTACCCCTTCAATAACATCAACAACAATAACGACGCCATCAGCTACGGCCATAGGAGAAGCAATTTCATCGACAAAGTCAACATGACCTGGTGTGTCTAGACATTGGAAAGCATAAGACTTTCCTTGCATATTTTGTACAGCTAGGGTCATTGGGGTGCTCTTAATAGACATGACCCTTTGGCGTTCGAGATAGTGGGTATCTGTATAGCGGAGAGACCTTCGTTTTGGTGATCTCGTGTCTGGGTGCGTGTAGTATACCAGCAAATCTATTAATGCGGTTTTGCCATGATGAAGATGACCAGCAATGATAAAAGTTCGTACATCATCAGTTTGACTCAAAATATCGTATAAAAATCTAAAAGAGACGTTAATTTGACAGCCGCAAATGAATCCTACATACTCTTTCTTATAGACCGTATCGGGCACATTGCTCGTCTCGATCGCGACGCGTTTCTGACGAATTGGTTCAATAATAGGCTGCGTTAGAGGTTGAGTATCTTGTTCTTGTACGACAACATCAACCTCAGGACCATAAACCTCTTCAGCGCTCGGATAGTACTGCTTGTCCTCATGCAAAACAACTGCGTTTTGGGGTTCTGCAAGATTAAGTGCCATTTTTTCAACGCGCTCAACATCCTCTAAATCCTCTTCTTCCATCTCAGCCTCAAAACCAGGCACTTGAGCAACGGAAGGGCTGGGAACTTGAGGAATTTCGTCCAGTTCCTCATCTTCGTTCTCAGGTCCTATATAGTTACCAAATCTAAAAGGTTAATACTCCATAAAAGCAACTCTACATACTCGTCATATAAATCCTCGTCCATCTTTCTACTTTTGGCTTTCCAAGAAAAGGGCAGTACAGATGGTAACTACCCATTCAACGAAATAGAGATGTCTACCGATATCACAATTTAATTGTATCATAGGATACCGATGCTGTTTATTTTGAATTGCCGATAATGCTGTGGTACCTTAATAAACATTTATGAATGAAGCATTGATTCGCAATTATCTATAAAAAGGAAGCTGCTTGTGATTTCTTTACGCTCTTTGTTTTATTCTTGTCTCAAAAAAGAAAAGTGTAGGGCTTACAAACTAGCTTGCTTTTTTTTTTACCCTTTAGCGTATTTCGCTGGGAATCTTTAAACAGCAAGTGTCAGGATATATTTGTAAATTGACCGCTTCCAACTTTTACTCAAAGCCAACGCCAAAGAGACTTTATTTTTTCTTAGTTAATATTTATAAACATCATAATGGTGAACACGTAAGTGATTTTTTATATCTTGCTTTTCGCATGTGCTAACTTAAGATAAGCGACGTGTATATTGTTTCTGGAGTTCGTACCCCTATGGGTAGCTTTGGTGGTAGCCTTGCGTCTCTTCCTGCCACTAAATTGGGCGCAGTTGCCATCAAGGGTAAGTTTGTAATTTTGGCTGTCGCTCTTGATTTCAACGCGTATTTAGTGACGCGTCGCGTTTGTTCAAGAGCTTAGCACGAGATTATTGTTTTACTTATGGATTTAATATTTAAAGAATACTAACATATTGATTAGGCGCACTTGAAAAAGCAAAGATTCAAACTTCTGATGTTCAAGAAGTTTTCATGGGCAATGTCTTGTCTGCTAACCTCGGTCAAAACCCTGCTCGTCAGTGCGCTTTGGGTGCGGGATTGCCTGTCGACACCGTTTGTACCACTGTCAATAAGGTTTGTGCTTCCGGCATGAAGGCCACCATTCTTGGCACTCAAACTATCATGACTGGTAACGCAGACATCGTCGTCGTTGGCGGTGCCGAAAGCATGTCCAATACTCCTTACTACGCCACCAAGAGCCGTTTCGGTTCCAAGTTTGGCAACGTCGAGCTTGTTGATGGTCTCTTGCGTGATGGTTTGTCGGACGCTTATGATGGTCAATCTATGGGTAACGCTGCTGAACTTTGCGCAGAAGAACATAAGATCGACCGTGCTGCTCAAGATGATTTTGCCGTTTCTTCCTATAAACGCGCTCAAGCCGCTCAAGCATCTTCCGCTTTTGAAAACGAAATTATCCCTGTCGAGGTCTTTGGCGGTCGTGGTAAGCCCAACAAAATCATTTCTGAAGATGACGAGCCCAAGAATTTAAACGAAGAAAAACTTAAGTCTACTCGTCCTGTTTTCAAGGCTGATGGTACAGTGACCGCTGCCAACGCTTCCACGTTAAATGACGGTGCCAGTGCTATGGTTTTGGTCTCTGGTACCAAACTTAAAGAACTAGGATTGAAGCCTATTGCTAAAGTTCTTGGTTGGGGTGAAGCTGCTCAAAACCCTAATCGCTTTACTACCTCTCCTAGTCTTGCCATTCCTAAAGCTTTGAAGCATGCCAACGTTGAGCTTTCTCAAGTCGATTATTATGAAATTAATGAAGCTTTCAGTGTTGTCGGTGTTGCCAACACAAAGATTTTGGGCTTGAATGCTGAACGCGTCAACATCTACGGAGGTGGTGTTTCTATGGGCCATCCTTTGGGAAGCAGTGGCTCTCGAATCATTGTCACCTTGTCTAATGTGTTGGCTCAGAAAAATGCCAAGATTGGCGTTGCTGCTGTTTGCAATGGTGGTGGTGGTGCTTCTTCTTTTGTAATTGAGCGTGTTTAATCCATAGAACTGTTCTGTTGTCCCCATCTTTCACACTCGAATAGAACGATATATCCTTAATATCCTCGTGTAGAAGATTCATCTACCTGTATGAAATAATTCATTCTTTTCCTTTCGACTTCGTTGACATTCTTGATCCTTGTTTTTCCAAATACTCGTTAAAATGATCAAACTACTCTTCTCCTTTTGTGAAACGTAAACTTGTACGTCTTTTGCTAACTGAAGTTGAACCTTTTTCTTTTTATTTTTCGAAGCCTTGAAACACGTGCTTGTCATTATCAAAGAAATCTTAATTGCTATTGCTGAAATTTAACACCCATGGATGAATGTTTACATTGACTTGGGGTTGATTCTCCTAAGTTTACTTCCATTTACTTCTACTTTTTGAGAACCAATACATCCATCTCACATAGTGATTTTTCTTTGTAAGTATATCCCAATCCTATTTCCCTTTTTTTTTTCATTCATATAATACATCAATCTATAATTTTAAGGTGGTACGTTATACCTCACTATCAGTAATCTGACCTCTATAGAGAAAGAAGTCACACTTTACTGATCATCAAAGTTGACAAAACTCCTTTATAAACATATCAGTTTCCTTCTAGCATTGACCAGTCAATTTCAAGCCAAATAACTCAGTTTGATTCTTGGAGCATAGAACAAGCTTGGGTTGTAGGAAAATATGGCATTTTGGACGACATCAATGCGTCGTGCCATTCCAGGTATTTCCAAAAATGTCTTTGGAAATGGACGATGCTTAAGCTCGTTTGTATCAGTAAATAAAGGCACTGTTTCCAAATTAGCATCTCAAAAGCGTACTCTTAGCGTTTCTGCGATTGCTCGCAATGAACCCAATAAAGAAAAAAATGTGCCCGATGCCAGTGCTTACCTTCGCTCTGGTCATGTGAAAGCTATTCAACGTGAAAAAGTTAATAAGGTTATTGTTGTTGGCTCCGGAGGTATCTCTATCGGTCAAGCTGGTGAATTCGACTACTCTGGTGCTCAGGCCATTAAAGCTCTTCGTGAAAGCTCTGTTCACACTATCTTAATTAATCCTAATATTGCTACTATTCAATCTTCTCATGGACTTGCTGATGAAATTTACTTCTTACCTGTTACTGCTGACTACCTCTCCCATATTATTGAACGCGAACGTCCTGATGGTATTTTGTTGACTTTTGGCGGTCAAACCGCTTTGAACGTCGGTGTCCAATTGGATGACATGGGTGTATTTTCTCGCAACAATGTTAAGGTTTTGGGTACTCCTATCTCGACTCTGAAGACTTCTGAAGATCGTGATCTTTTCTCCAAGGCATTGAATGAAATCGATATCCCCATTGCTGAATCCACTGCCGTTGAATCTGTCGACCAGGCTCTTCAAGCTGCTTCTCAAGTCGGATACCCTGTCATTGTTCGTTCCGCTTACTCTCTTGGTGGTCTTGGTTCTGGCTTTGCCAACAACGAAGAGGAGTTGCAATCTTTGGCTGCTAAGTCGCTTTCCTTGACTCCTCAAATTCTTGTTGAAAAGTCTTTGAAGGGCTGGAAAGAAGTTGAATACGAAGTTGTCCGTGATGCAGCTAACAATTGCATTACCGTTTGTAATATGGAAAACTTTGATCCTCTTGGTATTCACACGGGTGATTCCATGGTCGTTGCTCCTTCTCAGACTCTTTCCGATGAAGAATATCACATGCTTCGTTCTGCCGCTATCAAGATTATTCGTCATTTGGGTGTCGTTGGTGAGTGTAATGTTCAATACGCCTTAAGCCCTGATAGCTTGGAATATCGTGTCATTGAAGTTAACGCTCGTCTTTCTCGCTCTTCCGCTTTGGCTTCTAAGGCTACCGGTTATCCCTTAGCCTATACAGCCGCCAAAATCGCTTTGGGTCACACGCTTCCTGAATTAACCAACGCTGTTACCAAGACTACCACTGCTAACTTTGAACCTTCTTTGGATTACATTGTCACCAAGATCCCTCGCTGGGATTTGAGCAAATTTCAATACGTTAACCGCGAAATCGGTTCTTCCATGAAGAGTGTGGGTGAAGTCATGGCTATTGGTCGTACTTTTGAGGAGTCTCTTCAAAAAGCCTTGCGCCAAGTTGATCCCTCTTTCTTAGGTTTTATGGCCATGCCCTTTAAGGATTTGGACCATGCTCTTTCTGTTCCCACTGATCTTCGCTTCTTTGCTGTTGTTGAAGCCATGCTCAATCAAAACTATTCCATTGACAGAATCCATGAGTTGACCAAGATTGATAAGTGGTTCTTAGGTAAGCTTGAAAATATGGCTGAAGTCTACAAGGAGCTTCAAGAGATTGGTTCTTTATATGGATTAAATAAGGAAGTCTTAACACGTGCTAAAAAGCATGGATTTTCTGATTTCCAAATTTCTAAACTCGTTGGTGCTACTGAAATGGAAGTTCGTGCTCGTAGAAAGCGTTATGACATTCATCCCTGGGTTAAGAAGATTGATACTTTGGCCGCAGAGTTCCCTGCTCATACTAACTACTTATATACCACTTACAATGGTTCTTCTCATGACGTTGATTTCAATGAGCATGGTACCATGGTTCTTGGCTCCGGTGTCTATCGTATTGGCTCCAGTGTTGAATTTGACTGGTGTGGTGTCTCTTGTGCTCGTACCTTGAGAGGACTTGGACGTAGCACCATCATGGTTAACTATAACCCTGAGACTGTTTCTACTGATTTTGATGAATGTGAACGTTTGTATTTTGAAGAACTTTCTTATGAACGTGTCATGGATATCTATGAGATGGAAAGTTCTAATGGTATCGTCGTTAGTGTGGGCGGTCAACTCCCTCAAAATATTGCCTTGAGATTACAAGAGACTGGTGCTAATGTGTATGGTACCGATCCGAAGATGATTGACTCAGCTGAAGATCGCCACAAGTTCTCTCAAATTCTCGATAAGATTGGTGTTGATCAACCCGCTTGGAAAGAGCTTACTTCTGTTGAAGAAGCTAGTGAATTCGCCAATAACGTAGGCTATCCTGTTCTCGTGCGTCCTTCCTATGTCTTGTCTGGTGCTGCTATGAATGTTATTCGTGATGAATCTACTTTGAAGAACAAGTTGGAGAATGCAGCTGCCGTATCTCCCGACCATCCCGTGGTTATTACTAAATTCATTGAAGGAGCTCGTGAGCTCGACGTTGATGCTGTTGCTTCCAAGGGCCAATTGTTGGTTCATGCCGTTTCTGAACATGTTGAAAATGCTGGTGTCCACTCTGGTGATGCCACTATTGCTCTTCCTCCTTACTCTTTGAGCACCGATATTATGGAGCGCTGTAGAGAAATTGCCCAGAAGGTTGCTAAGGCTTTCCATATTACTGGTCCTTATAACATGCAAATCATTTTGGCTGACAATGCTGAAACTGGCGTAAGTGACTTGAAGGTTATAGAGTGCAACCTTCGAGCTTCTAGATCTTTCCCTTTTGTCTCAAAGGCCCTTGGTGTAAACTTTATTGATGTTGCTACTCGTGCCATTATTGATCAAAATGTTCCTGCTCCTCGTGACTTGATGGCTATCCCTCGTGACTATGTGTGTATCAAGGTTCCACAATTCTCTTGGACTCGTTTGGCTGGTGCCGATCCATTCCTTGGAGTTGAGATGAGCTCTACTGGTGAAGTAGCCTGCTTCGGTAAAGATGTTAGAGAAGCTTACTGGACTGCTCTTCAATCTATGCAAAATTTCAAGATTCCTGTCCCCGGTCAAGGTATCTTATTGGGGGGTGACCGTCCTGAATTAAAGGAAGTTGCTGCTGATTTGCACAAGCTTGGTTACAAGCTTTACTCTGCCGATAAGGAAGTTTCCGAGGAACTGAAGCCCACTGAAGTGGATGTTATTGAGTTCCCTGTTGATGACAAGCGTGCTCTTCGTGCTGTTTTTGAGAAGTATAACGTTCGTTCTGTCTTCAATTTGGCTTTTGCCCGTGGTAAAGATATTTATGATAAGGACTATGTTATGCGTAGAAATGCCGTAGACTTCAACGTGACCCTAATTAACGATCCTAACTGTGCCAAGTTGTTTATTGACTCTCTTAAGCAGAAGCTTCCAGAGGCTACTTCAGAACAGAAGGCTATTCCTAACGAAGTTAAGAGATGGAGTGATTGGATTGGTAACCATGATCTTTAAAATCGAAATATTTGTTTAAAATGTTTTCAACTCTTTAATTTATTTTAACTATTCGGTAATAAGCAATGGTTGATCACATTTTGTATATCTAAAACTATTATTTTTCGTTTTTTCCCTACACTTCGAAATTGTTCGGAATTGTCTTCGTTAAAACGCCCTTCCTTGCTTTATGAAACATAGTTGAGGACGGCTTTGGTGATGTTTTAGACAGTTGCCTTTTGTTGGTGTGGTTCTTTGACCAACTTTTGCTTAAACCTAGATAATATACCTTGCGAAGGCTCTTCTATCTATCAAATTGGTTGTTTTTGTTTGTTCGAATAAAATCTCTATGTTGTTTAACTCGTTGATTTCCTTGTAGAGTTTGACGTTTAGATCTTGATTTCTATATTGGTTTTCGAGTCTATGTCTGTTGCTACCATCAACTCGTTTGGTTTCAATCAGGAATTATTTGTACTTTGTTTTTCATATATAACTTTCGGTAAATTAGTTTTAGGTAGCTCGCTTCGGTGTACCTTATACTTGTCAGTTTTGCACTTCCTGTGCTAGACGCATTTACGCTTACTGGTTGCATAATTTATCCTTCTACTAATATTTGAGAACACGACGTGAATCTCGAAATTGATAAAATGGAAGCATCGTCTGAAAGTAATGCACAACAAATGAATATAGAAAGGCAAGAAGAGAAGGCTGCACCTGTTGAGGACACAAAAGAAGCACTGACTCCAGTTTCTGGAGAAAACCCAGAGGAATCAGAGACTAAGGAGGTTGAAGATGCTCAGAAAGAGAGTGAAAACGATCATGAACCCCAGGAAGACGTTGAAGCGAAACTTGAAGAAGCTCCCGAACAAGAAAATGGCGCATCTTCTGACAAACAGGAATCAACGGTTACTGAGGAAGAGCCTAAAGAAAACGGAGCCACTGCAACAGAAGAGGATTCCAAGACATTGGAAAACAAACAAGAGGAGTCCTCTCCAGAGTCGAACGAAGATCAATCGACGGAGAAGCAAGAGTCTGAAGGTACTGCCAAGTCAGCCGCTAAAAATGCCGCGAAGCAGAAGAGCGGGGAAAAGCAAAATGTTGAATACAAATCTGGCATGCGTGTTTTAACTAAGCTCGCCGGCTTCCCCTGGTGGCCTAGCATGATCATTACAGAAGACAAAATGACTTCTGTTGCTTTGAAGAGCAAGCCTAAGCGTGCTGAAAATTATTACCCTGTAATTTTCTTTCCTAATAAAGAATACTTATGGGCTAGTCCTGATGCTTTATGCCCATTAACCGAAGATGCAATTTCTGAATTCCTTGAAAAGCCTAAACCCAAAACTGCTGGTTTAATCAAAGCTTATAAAGTAGCTCAGGCCACTAAGAATTTACAAGATGTTTCTCCTCCTCCTTCTGACGTTGAAGAGTCTGAAGAGGAATCTGAGGAGGACGAACAGGAGGAATCTGAAGCTTCTGTCGACGAAGAAGAGGAAGAAGAAGAATCGAAGCGGACGACTCGAACCAGTGCTAGACGAGGAGGTAAGAGAAATACAAAAAAGACCGTGTCTTTTGATCCTTCCTTGGATGCTTCTCGTAGAAAACGCTCTTCTACGGAAACTGCATCACCTAGTGCAAAGAGAACTCGAGCTTCTCCTAGAAAAGGTTCCCAGCAGGTGAAAAAGACGGTTGCTCCTGTGAAGAAGAAGGCCAAGAAAGACGAAGAAGAAGAGGAGAAAGAGGAAAAAGAAGAAAGCCCTGAAGTAAGCGAGGAAGAAGCGGCTGAACGTACTTATAAATCCAGGGAACAATCTCTGTTGTTTCTTCGTCACAAATTGCAAAGTAGTCTTTTGGCACCAAATGCAGACTTGTCCAAGCAAAATTACGAGATAATTCGTGGATATCTTGAGAAGCTTTCCACATTCCAGGGATTAGACGTTACGCTGGTCCAAAACACAAAGATTGCAGTTGTTTTGAAGAAAATCTATGCTTTAACAGAGTTACCCGGAGATCAAGAACAACCTATAAAGGATATTTGCCAGGAACTTCTTGAAGATAAATGGAAACCCATTATGCAGGCCATTTCTCAGCAAAAGCAATCGCCAGCTGAGGCCACGTCTGAGACTCCAGAACCAATAGCCGAACAAGCCGAGGAGGTGAAGCCTGTTGAAAATAACGATAAAGAAGAAAAGAAGGTAGAAACCAAAGAATCGAAGGAATCTTCTCAAGATCTGAGTGAAAAGGTGGAAAGTTCACCCGAGTCTAATGAAAAGTCAGAACAAGAAGCTTCGGATTCAAAAGATATATCCATGACAGATGTCTCTCCTTCTACTGAAGCATCAGCCCCAAGTGATTCTCAAAAGCCAACGGAGGAACAAAAAGAACCTTAAGCTTGAAAGGGAACTAAGTATGTAAAAAATAGTCATTAATCGGATGACTCCGTCGCTCAAAGTTGGTTTCTGGGAAACTAATTTTGTTTATTGAGATTTTTTGATGATTAGATAAAAATGAAATTTTGATGCTTTCGTGAATTGGGTATCGTAATTACATTCTTGCTTTTAAAGGAATAATAGAACTTGACTCTTTTCAAGGAAACATCAGCTTATAAAAAGAGTAGCAATTTAAGGCATAGAATGATAGTAGTTAAAGTGCTGTAGCTTGAAAGACAGCTTTTCGTGAAAAGCATTCAAATGGTGAAGAATGCCTGATAGACGAACCGAAGAGAGTACTAACAGGGAGTCAGCTATGTAAATCAAGCAAAGGATGAAACTAACACAGGAAAAAGAATGGAGATGCCGAACGTTTGAATGGCCGTGTCTCTTGTCAATTTTAGAAAAACAAGAATTTAAATTGTCGTCAAACAGGATATAAGTATCCTTCAAATGACTAAATATTATTTTAAATTAAGAAACTAAACATTAAACAAGAACGAAAAGGATAGGAAGGTCGTTAGAGAACGTATATCGAAAATTTTTCTTTGCTTATTCCACACACTTGCAAACAGCAACTTGACACTAGTTACAAGAATCATTTGAGAAAAGTCAAGAAAAGCAACTAATAAAGAAGTAAAAATATGGTTTCTTTTTGCTGTGAAGGTAAATATTTAATCCTAGGAAAAGAAAAATGACAGGAAATCGGTGAAAGTGAGAAAGGCTAACAACTTCAATTATAGTTTGTCAAGATATTGTGAAGAAGCCAAAACTCGATCAACATCGTTCTCGTTGCCATGGAGCATACTTCACGTGCATCGACTGCAATACGACTTTTGACGGGACTGATTATCGTTCTCACTCTTCTTGTATGACAGAGGCACAGCGATATCAGAAGGGCCTTTACCGTCCAACGAAAAAAGAACTGAAAAAAACAAATCAGCAAAGTAAAAGTATAAACGGTAATGCTCCTGCTGACAAGAATGGCACCGAAATAAAAGAAACACCAGAGTCCAAGGAGCAAGTTTCCTCTCCTTCAAAGAAGCGGTCGTCTTCCTCTGATGATTCTTCGGAAGAGAAAGGTAAGAAGAAAAAGAAACCATCTTCCGGCGATAAGAATGCCTCTCCCATCGAGCAAATGCTCTCGCTGTGCGAAAAGGATGGAAAGGAGTCTCTATACAAGCTTGTAAAGAAGCATAACAAAAATGCTTCTAAGGAGAAGACATTGGAATTAAAGGATATTATGAAACAACTCACAGTATCCAAAGATGCGAACGGCGTTTACTTGCTTAATGCTGTATCTACAGAATAAGAAAGTTACAAAAAAAAGTGCAAGCAATGAGAACGGGTGCTTGTTCAAGGTAATTAAATTAGGAACTTACAAAAATTGGGATTAGAGGAATGGATTACAATAGAAAAAGGATTTCAGGCTGGAGGCATACCACCCCAAAAGGGAGAAGCTACTCAATTTTGCCCGTAAAGTATCATTTATTGTATGTAGGCATTACCAACTGTTCACCGAGACAAAAGAATTGCAGACCAAACTAAGCAGTCTTAGTTACCCATGAACTTGTACTTCCGACGACACACAACAAAAGGTACTATTTCCTTTCTCATTTAACGAAATAAACCATTACCACTGCTCATCAACGATAAGAACAGAACAAGATTCACCAACTCCTACCATTTCATTCAGTATCAACAGTCTAAGCTAGTTCAATCTACAACCACCACCATCATTGAAATAGGAGAACCTCATCCATTTGAATACAAACACATAGCTTTTTTCATATCAGCACCAGAAAATGGCACATACCTTAAGCTATCTTTACGATGACAACAATATACTGTGAATATTAGTCACAAAAAAATCGATTTCGATTTATACATAATAAATAACATCAACAATGGACAAAGATATATAATCATTTCTCTTAGTCGTTAACAAAGTGTGAAGAACATGGATATCATAAAGACCTTCTTCCTTCACCCATGCAATTTTTTATGGCTCTATACTTGATAGGACACCATAAATATCAAGAAGTCTCTATTAATAACGGGGATTGGTTTAACGTCTCTTCCACTAAATATGCGCGATGCTTACGAGGGGGGAAACGAATGATAAAAGCAACGAAAAATCAATCAATGCGGAAAATAACCAACTACCAGCCAAAAGCTATGGTAATGAAAAGTGTGCATCAAAAGAAAACTAACCATATGTTCAAGACTGATAGAAATCAACGTGCAACCTCAAACAACACCCCCTTTTGGAACTGATAAGCGTTACGCGTCAGGATGAGGAATGGTATCCTTTTCCACACACAGAGAAAACAAAAGGGATCATAGCGAAACCGTTTACTCGGTTTCAGTACCACCTTCGTTTTCGGATTCTTCCTTCAAGGGTTGAAGGACTTGAATCAAGCCCTTAGGGTCCATGTTTTCGTAGCAAATGTTGTAGACAGAGTGGAACAAGGGGAACTCGTTGACCATGTCCTTGGTGGAAAGGAATTCGTGGACTTCCTTAGCAGTAGAAGCACCTTGCAAAAGTTGACCGCCCAAAAGTTCCTTTTCAAGAACTTCAATGGGCTTACCAGACTTAACATAAGCCTCGGCAACGCGGTTGTTACGACCACCCAAACAAGAGGTGACCAAGTCGGCAATACCACAAGATTGTTCAACCATAGTACCCTTCTCACTATCGAAGAAGGTGGTAGCAAACTTTTGCATTTCCAACAAGCCACGACGCATGATGGCAGACTTGGTATTACCACCCCATTCCAAACCGTCGGCGAAACCGACAGCCATGGCGACGATATTCTTCAAAGCACCACCGAGAGCGACACCGGCAACATCATCGACGGAGACGACCGAGAAGTAAGGACGGTCGAAAACAGCAACGATTTGCTCGGCAGAAATAACGGGATTAGGGGGGTTGTAACCAATAGTGGTCTCACAGAATTGCTCCTTGGCAACTTCGTTGGCGACGTTAGCACCGGAAAGGACACCACAGTAAATGCCAAGCTTCTCACTGATGACATCAGAGAAAAGGCGGACACCGTCCTTGCCAACGGAAACACCCTTGATACAAGAAATACCGACAGCATTAGGACGAAGGTGACCAGACATTTGGTCGCAGACACGCTCGATAAATTGGTGAGGGACAACAAAGACCAAAACGTCAGAGCGACGAGCAACTTCACGGACATCGGGGACAGCGATGACGTTAGGAGGGCATTCGACACCAGGAAGATACTTGACGTTTTCGTGGGTCTCGTTAAAGACTTCAGTAAGCTTTCTCTTTTCACCCTTGTGTTCGATTTCTTCTTCAAAAACCCACATACGGACCTTGGAACGGAAGTGGTGACCGTGAGCACGGGCGTTTTCACCGCAGATCTTGGCGATGGCGGTACCCCAGTTACCAGAACCGACAACACCAACGGCCAAACGCTTCTTGGGAGCTTGGTCTAAATTAGCACCAGTAGCGTGAGGAAAAGACATTTTTTAAACTAGTAGTTGATGAATAGAAACGTTAAATTAAAAAACTCGTGAAATGAACAACAAAAACAATTGAACTTGGAGGAAAGAAGAAAGAACCGACAACGAAACGCTAAAAGCAAGAAACCTGAATCTTTCGTTGATGAGGCAGATTGTAAAGAAAGATCAGGGAAATGCCATGCTTTTATATTTGTGAGCATACGCCATGTTTAGGTCCGAAGGAGTGACGTCAAAAGTTGAGTTTTTACTAGATGTTCCAAATCAAGCCAAAACGTCATGAATGTGATATCAAAGCATACACAGGAAGAAACCATACAATCGCTTTTCTACGTCATGTCCGCTTGATATAGAAAAAGGTGAAAAAGCGGCAAGAATTTTTACGAGCTGCAACGAACCGTAGCGAGGGGAAGATGTTTTGAGAACGAATGGTGAACTAGTATTGCCAGGGCAGGCAGGTAGGTTTCAAAGGGAAACAATAAATTAAATTAAATCAAATTAAAATAAAAAGAAAAAGCTAAAGTGAGAAAGGTTATTTTTCACTGTATCTTTATTTGCTATTTTCATTGAGATCTACTGTCTAGCGGTGGTGGGTGGTGGGTTCAGTAGTGCTATTACATGAAATGCGACAAAACATCCCTTTCCTTGTTGGTTGGGAGATTTGGCTTATTTGAAGGTGTTTGGTTCAACAAACATAGTCCGACTCCGATTTCTCTGCTTCTTGCTTGATTTTTCTTCTATTCCTTTGTTTGCAATCGAAATCCCGTCTTACCTTTGTTTACTTTCCCTTCCTATTCGCACTCTGTCTAATTGGTTGCAATGCTGAATCAACCTTTTTTTCACTGATTCCTTTTCTGCACTACTTACTACTGTTGCGTTCTACAAGCATGGTGGAGTGTTTCGTTTACGTAGTGCGCAGCGACTCCTTCAAATACCTTGTAGGAAACTCTTCACTGCGGTGATTTATCAGCAAGCCAATCAGCGGGCTGAATCCGTTATCGATAAGGAACAATCAGGGAACATATGGATTTTCAGGACTGGAAAAACTTTTAGTCTATTTTTCCTTTGGAGTTTATGAGTGGTTACATTGTATCATGATTTTATTACAGTTTCTGAATATGGGACTCGTTAAAGGCATTTTAAGAGTACTACTACAGTAAAAAAAAGGGAAAAGTATTCACTCATCATCATATCACTCCTTGTTGTCACTCACTCTTCATTCTTCTCAATTCGTTCCCTTACGTTGCTGCCGCTGAAAGTTTTGGTTCGGCTTTATTTTTTTCTTTGTGAAAGATCGTCTTTGGAACGCTTTCTAGACTTCTCGCTCGCTGTATTTTACGTTTTCATCCCTTCTGCGACGATCTTTAAGGTTCTTACATCGCACCTTGAATTTACATCGGTCCACTCAACGTTACACTATGTTATGATACATCATTCCATTTCACTAAAAACTTCTCTGGAAAAAAAAGGAAATGATCCAGGGGAACTGGAACCATTTAACGAGTTCCTTTGCAATCCTTCAAGATATGCAAAACAAACCGATTCGATATTCTATTCTTTCGTTATATATTTCATGTACGCTTTTCTTTTACGATTTCTTTTCGAGAAGGAACGTTTGTTTGTTTATTTAGTTTTTATTATTTCCCTGGTTTTTTTTTTTTTCGACTTTGTTCTTTCTTGTTTACGTGTATGTTTATTTATTTTTACTTTTGAGAATGTTATATTCCTTTATACATTTATGTTTATTATTGTAAAAAGTATGTATTCTTTGTCGATCCATCCTATTCCACTCTGAACTTTTCATATGCAGCTTGCTGGAAAAACAAAAGAACAAAACACAAAGGAGAAAAATAAAGAAAAAGCTCCCCTAAAATTAAAAAAAAAAAAAACAAAGCCAAGAGAATCCATGCAGCTTATATTAAAAATATAATGCTGGTTGTAAAAACAACGGTCAGAGAGGGACTCGAACCCTCGACCTCATGATTAACAGTCATGCGCACTAACCAACTGTGCTATCCGACCTTGTTGGTACTTTGATCTCAATATAACTATTCTTTCGTATGAAAAGGTTTAGGTTGGAATTATAGAGGTTGATGAATACAGGAAAGAAGAAATGGATATTTCTTTTCTTAATGTTTTTTAGTTGTATCAACTGTCTACTCACCGAAATTATTTCCTTTAAAAACAAAAAAAAAAACATTTCTATACATTTCATTTGCTACGATCCAGCTGCTTTTCTCTTAAGAACCCATTCATCAAAACAATCCCTTCCTTCTTGGGCGATTCCAACAAAAGGACATTTCACTTTCCGGATGCTTCCATCCACTAATGAGAAGCTCTTGTTTCTAAGACAGAAAGCTGCTGTCTCGTTTTGTTCATCTGTTTATTTGATTCGCTATCACGCATTTTTGTTCGTTTGCTCATCCCACTATCTCTAGAAAATGGCATTTTGACATGTTTATAGGGGAAAGATAATTTTGAATTAGTTTAGGCACGTTTCTTCCCAACCTTTCTTTCATTCTCATTCTCATTTCCGCTTGAGGATCCTGGACAGACCAACAATCGCATCATTTCGCCTCTTGTACAATCTCGAAGTAGGGTTCCACTGCTTGGATCTTCCTAGCAAATCACACAACATTTTTGTCGAATTGCTTTTCCCTTACGTTGTACAGATGCTGGTGTTGAACCTTTCGAACGACCATATTCAACCTTCTCTTTAGTATGTGCAGCTAGCATGGGCTCTTCATGTTGATTTATATAACTTCTAAAACTATAATTGCATCCAATGTTAGAATCCTTCCTACTTTCGGTGAATCGCAATCCATCACCCAATGTTTACAAACATGTTCCCAATCACATTGTTTACATACTCATCGCGGGCTCTTTCAACAGAAATGTTTTCTTGCAATTTACTATCCATTGAATAATGGTCCTTTCTTCTCGAAATCGATTATTTCTCACTATTTGGAGTCGTCTGTAATGAGCAACATTCATCTTTCTCCTCAAAGCGCCATGTCCTTCCAGGTCGTTGAACTCAATTTACGGTCCTACTGCGTCGGCTTACATCATGTGCGTTGGAGTTTGTAGGTAAATAAATAAACCAAGAAAAAGTCCATTTCAAAATAATTCTAATAAAGGCTCCTGAGCCTATATGCTTTTCTCAACGTAAACATTTTTCTTTTTATTAACTTGAAATTAACTTTTCCTGAAATGTTCCAACAGATCTACTTTTTAGAATTCCCCCTCTGTAGAATTGCTTCAGGCTAGATATTGTTTCGTTTGCATCCACTTCATTTCTTTCATATATTTCTTCACTAATAGACGGATCTTTTCTATGTTTCATTCTCTTCATTGTTTCTTTCTCCGTGATCCTCTGTAGCAGTAGAAAAGCTGCTTTCTCTACCTGCTTCTCAATTCATCGCGGCGTCTGTTGAAACTTTCCCATGTGCATTTTTCTTCTGTCTCCTTTCTTTTAAAATATTATACCATAAACACTTTACTCAATCTATCCAATTAGTATCTAACTCTACAGTCCTTACTCGTAGAAACCTCCACAACAAGAAATCCCAAACTGAGCGAATTTTTTTTTCCTTTTTATGACAAAATAAGAAAAAGAAAATTTGTTAGTACACGTGCGTTTGCTCCTCTGGTTTGGATTTTATTTTAACCAACTTTATCCTGGCGGACTCTACTACCATCAATTCACGCAAAAATCACCACCTGACTGGAAAAAGTGATTCGTCTATTTCTTTGCTTTACTCTTTTTTTGAAGACTACAGACATAAGATATAGTGCCTTATTGGAAGCCTGCATTCTCCAATGGACACGGCAGATTTGGAAAAGTATTTGAATCAGTATGGAGGTATGTTTCCTGCAATGCTAAAGAAAAAGCCATTCATTTCTATTTTACCAACCATATTTTGATATTTTAGTTTGGCCAAGAATTTTTCGGGCACTGTTCATTGCTCGCACTCATGAAGCTTTCAGGTCGTTTTGCTCTCAATATGCACTCAAAGAGATTAAAGCAAAAACTTACAACTTGGAGTTGTACACATCTGTTTTTTCCGAATTTTCAAACGACTTCCGCGAAGAACAATTCGACTTGTCATGGATCGACAGTGTCACGTATCATCGAAAGCAAAACCTCGACCATCTAACGAAAGAACTAAAATCATATAAAAATAATTTAATCAGAGAGTCAATTCGGGTATGTACTTGCGAAAAAGTCGTTTATTTTAGTTTCTATGCTTGTTGCGCACTCCTTTGCCAAAGAAATACTAATTCCACATTTAGTCGGCACAGCTCGACTTGGCATCTTTCTTTGCCGACTTGGGCCAGTTTGAAAGCGCTCTTCGTGCCTACGCAAAAGTCAGAGAATACTGTACTAACGCTGGTCAAATTGCCCACTTATCGCTAGAGTTGATGAGAGTGTCCATCTGGATGGAAAACTACTCTCACGTCCTTGCTTTTGGATCTCGTGCCAAATCAACCCTTACGGCTGCCGTGGAGCTCAAGAGCACTGTTTATGCTTATTGTGGATTGGCACATATGTATCTGGGAGATTATAAATCTGCCTTACAGCACTTTATACAAGTCGAACCTGATTTCTCCGACATCCTCTTGACAAAAACAGATGTATCTACTTATGCTTCTCTTTGTGCTTTAGTATGTTGGGACCATAACGAACTTATAGAACAACTGAATGAAGACGAAATATTTAATGCTTTATCAGATCTGAACCCCTCTTTACGAAAATGTATGTACTTTATGGGACAGCGGAACTACAGCTCTTTATTTGAAACTCTTCAAACCAGCTTTCCAGAATATGCATTGGACATGTACCTGGCTCCTCATTTACTCACATTTATGTCTTTGGTCCGTGAACGTTCGTTGGTTGATTATTTATTTCCCTATAGCGCTATTCCTATGAAGAAAATTGCCTCTGATTTTCACGTTGACTTATCCTTCATTGAAGATTTTCTACTACAGATGGTGGAAGCGCAAAAACTAGATGCCAAAATTGATTCTCTGAATAAGGTAAGCATCCTCTAATAACATGTCATGGTGTATGTATGCTAACAACCATCTCTAGTGTGTTTATATGGAATCTTCATTAGAAGGCGAGCGCTTTCAAGAAATTCAAAACATCGCTGAAAACACACACATTTATAGCAAAGCTATTCATTTACAGACTATGAATACTTTCAACAAAACCACGGACGATGAATCTACTACGCATACTTAATATCTTCCTGTTGATTGAGACATAATCGTTCTTCATTTATGCATAACGCCAAACCTCCATGAAAAATCAAGTTTTCATAATAAATTTCATGACTATCATACTATTGAAACTAAGTTGACGCCGAAGCGTTTTTGGTGCTTTGCTCAGTAGCTTTTTGTTGCATGACAGATTGAACAGCTACACATAGAGTTTTCGTTAATAAATCGTTCCATCATAAAGAAAAAGGAATCCTATCTTACCTCGAATCTGAGAAGACTTGGCTTCAACGGCACTGCTGATGCTTTCAATACTGTTTTTCAAATATTCGCACTTTCTTTGATAGTACTCGATCGCATCAGGAGCTCTCTGAAATCAACCATTAGTCACGAATTCATCGTATTTTCTTTACCTTCTCTACAAAGTATCCTGTTCCAATGTCAATCAATACTTTCCTGTTGCCCAGTTTTAGCTTGCCGGGCACATAGAGACTAGTTGTAAGAGGAACGAGCATATCTCTCTCTGATATTTTGCTTGTTAGTAACAGGATCATAAATGAATCTTTTACCTTCATTTTCCGCCTTTACTGTTTCCTTTATGCTATGAAGGCAACCAAGAAATTTTACATGTGCACGTCCTAATTGAGCATATGAACTTGACAGGTATTCCAGCTCAGTATTAAGCTGCTTAATAACCTCCGCTAATTGCTCTAAACTAAGAGACGCTAGATTAATCGACTTTGAACCTTCTGCCATATTGATCCTTTCATGTTACTAAAATTCCAAGTGCCTTCTTAAACTAAATCTGCGTTCCAGCACGCTAAACAACAAACCAAGTAAATGATTAGTGTCAGTTGTTTTGTTTACGTTGGAAAACAAGATGAATAAAAGTAGCCAAGTAAGATCATTTATTAAACAACTATTAAAAGCAAGTATTAGCATGAAGAGATCTTGATCAAAATAAAAGGGATACATATACATGCCAGGGGCTCTATTTTTCATTAGAGGAGCTTATAAAAATAACCAAAAGTTAAAATCGGGTTAAGCGTCTGTTTTCTTGTAAGGGTCAAACTGTAGTAAATCTTTATCATCTTCAACAGGTTCTCCGACTTCCTCATCAATATCCGATGTATGGCTTTTTACTTTTTCCAAATTTGAAGTATCATCGCTTGTCAAATATGATTTATTTCCTGTGCTCGTGACATTGTCAGAAGAAGGAATGGTCGCCGTGTGTTTGTGACCACGAATGGTTTCGCTCAATCTGTTGGTATCAAGAACGAGCGAGTCCAATAACCCGCGCAGACCGCCGACAGTGCTTGTTTTTTCTTCAACAGGAACTAATATAACAGAATCTGCCAATCCACCAGAAAAAAGTTGCTCTAATAACACGTTTGAAAGAATAACCATGCGAAAGGTCGGGAGACTCACCCGGATATCGCTATTTGCGTCTACGTTTCTTTCGGAACCACCACTGGTTAAACTTTCGTCCATGTCGACCAGCTTCTCCTCTTCCTGATGATCAGGACTAGCTTCATCAGCAAAATGAAAACACCTTTGAATAAACTCACTGACTGCTGATAAGCACTCGTCGCCCATGTATCTGGTAATCCATAAAATAGCCTCAGAAACCTTCAGTACATCAGATTTATCCATATACCCATCAATGTCAGAATCGTATAGTTCAAAAATAAATGATATATTTCGCATAACGTCTCGAACTTTTAGTTCTGCAATCCCAGAAACCAAGTCTTGTAGAGATAGAGAGCCAGTCCTACTTTTATCAAAGCGTAGAAACAAATGTCTCAAGAAAGAAGAAGATCCATTAATTGCTACCGCGTCGAGGTTTTTGGACCAATCTGTCACACCTGCCATGAAAATACAAAATTCATCAAACTCTAACTTTGTATCAGCCGAAGTGCCTATCTCAAATTGATGCTTGGCAGAAAGAATTTCATGGTATCGGTCATATATATTACTCAAATCGTCACGAGTCAGCGAGCCGTAATTTTGGAGACTTCGTATTTGTGTTCGTTTGGCAAATGACTCAATTGAATTGATTACTTTATGAAAATGTCGTTTCCGTTCTGACTCTATCATGGAATGTGTAATATTTCCAAACTTCTTAAAGGCCGTTACAAGCAGCAGTTGAAATTTAGTGATCGATGCGACTCTTTTATCAGTTGCATCTTTATAAACTCGATCACTTAATGACGAAAAATAGTTTTTTAAAAGCGAAATAAGCATGGTTTCTTCAGTAGCTTTTAAAATCTCAGACTCATTATCATATAATACTGCCATCCCAATCTGAAAAAGCACTCTTGGTCCTTCTAAAAAGAAAAAGTCCATCAGTCGAAATGCATAAGGCAATGGCATTGTACAAAAAAAAAGAGAGAGAAACCACGGTAAGGATATAATACTAAGTTGGATATCCTTGTTTACAAAATGGGCATGAAGGTTTGGCATAAGTCGCTGTACCAGAGTTTCATATACTTGCTGATCAATTAATGTTCCATACATAGTTTTGGAATAATATCCGGGTATATAATCTTCGCAAATTTTGTGCATTAAATAAAACGTTTGAGCTTCATTACAATGAATTAACAGTGCAGCAGCCACAATGTTCATTGCTTGGCAGTAACCCACATCCTGATTTTTCCAAGAAAATGCAACCAACACGTTTCGTAAAGCATCAATCCCTTCATCATTTTGGTAAGCAGGATACTCTGGTAAACTTCTGCCCAAGTCTTTTTCAATCTCTTCTAATGAAAAAGAAGTTTGGCCTGAGTATGTTCGTAAAATTTGTTCGTATTCGTTTGCATTTTGAAGTCTTAAATATAAAGAACCAGAAGTTAACTCCCATATTTCACCCCTTAACTTATTCGGCAACTCTATACGAACAAGCTTAGAGAATAGAGAAACACGTATCAAAGAAAGGCTTGTTCCATATAATAAAAAGTATTCTTTCCACATTCGAAGTTTGGCCCTTTCACGAGAAGCTCGCGGATCCGTGGGATACCCATATTTGCAACCAAAACCATAAGAATCATTTGTTTCTGCAACATTAGGATTTATCAAATGTTCTGAAAAAAATTGCTTGGTAAATTCAGACGCTTTATGCATGTTTGCCTTATGTGAAATTAGTTCCTCCTTCAGGAGTCCGCAAAATCGAGAAGCAGTACTTTCAGAAACCTGAAGAGAAACTCGAAATTCATAACCATTACTCGTGGAAACTGAAAGCAGCTGTTCAAAATCGTCACTCTTTACTTTGCTAACCTTTCGAATAATTGTATACGGAATACAAAATTGAGTACCTTCTTCATCACCACGGAAAGCGATATAATCAGTAAATAAATAAAGAACTCCTAATAAAGAGCTTGTTTCCTCTGCATTGTTATAATGGATGAATTGAAGTTCGCATGGTAAACTGTTTATGGAAAACTGCGTTTCTGGAAGTCGAAATCTCCATCTTAGCTTAGCTAAATCCTTTGATGAATCAGGTAGTTGTAGCTTTGTTTTGATTAAACTAGCAATTGAAGACATAACAAAGCTGTATATGGGACAGCCGGCGTTAACAAGGCTGTAGCTATTTAATAATTATGCAGCGTTTCCGCAAACAGCAAAAGTAATGTAATAAATAGTAAATACTTTCCTAAACAGTTAAAGGATAGAAAGTCGTTTACTAACTTTTGACAGGATGTGATTTTACTATGCAGAGAGCAATTTTGTGCGGTATTTAGAGACAAAATGTAAATTGTAATCTTTATAGGATATAAAAAAGCAATGGCCCAGGAATTGGATAATTTACGGAAGCCACATTACAACCTTGAAGTATTAAGGTGTGTTATGCGTAGCAGGCAGCTGCTAGGATGTAAACGATCAAGGCAATGGCATAGCAGATTTCTTATATCACAAAATCATTATCAAGAAAGTCTATAAAATCTTAAAGTCATTCATTTTTGGCAAGGATACAGAAATATGTAAGTTGAAATCGCTGCTACTGTTTGACTACTCAGCTTACTGGAATGAGATGGAATGTTTTAAGTGGTAAAAGTGAAACAAGCAAATAGCTCGGTTTGTTTATTAAAATTCAAAAATCTTTTCAAAGAAACGTCCAAAACTGAGCCTTCATGGATAGATCCAATGTTGATTTTTCATCGATGATTTCAAAGTAAGTTTTTCGAGATATCGTAACATTCATATTAAAAAAAGTAGGAGGAATGTACGGAATGAATTATTTTTCTTTTTTAATAGACTCGTAAATTGGTAAATAGTGATAAATGAAACAACGTATGGAGAAATCCATTGCACAAAGTCCCATACGTCAAGATTAAAAGAAATCTTTATAGTCCTTCTACCTCGGTATGAGCGGCTTATAAAACAGAAGGAAATAAGAAATAAAAGAAATAAAACTATGAGACAGAGCATCATACCCAAAGTCGAATCCCCTGTAACTAGTAAGAGTTCCTTACCTTGACGGACAAAAGAAGATATGCGGATCAAGGGAATTGGCGAAAAGCGATAAAACACATACGGAAGAATGGCAAGGGGAAACAGGACGAGAAGTGAGGGAGAGAATGAAAAATGACACAGAATTGAAGAACGGGACCAAAGTTGTACAGTAAAGTAAAGACTCTAGCTCATAGAGAACGTCCATTTTCCTTTTTATTTGTCTTCGCCCTTAACGATACCAACCTTAGCGGGACGGACAACACGACCATTTAATAGATAACCCCTGCTCTCACAATGGAAGATTGTATTTGGTGTTTTTCCTTCGATAGGAATCTGGAAAACTGCCTCATGAATATTAGGATCAAAGGTTTCACCTATACCGTCGTAACGAAGCACACCATATTTTTGGAGCATCTTAATCATGTTTGACTCGGTCAAGACTAAACCATCGTACAGATTCACCAAATCTTTATTACTATCGCGATCTTTACGCTTCTCTTCGGGCACAATAGACAAGGCACGTTCCAAATTATCGACAGAATCCAAAAGATCCTTAACGAGCTTTTGAACAGCAAATGCACGGGTTTGCTCCATGTCACGTTTCAAGCGGTTTTCCATGTTTCGAGCGTCTGCCAATTTATGGCGGACATTATCCTTCAATTCAGCAATTTCTTTGTTCTTTGCTTCAAGCTTCGCTTGACACTCTTTTATTTGATCTTGTTCCTCAGTTTTAGGAGCTGCTTCGGCTGTTTTTTCCTTTTCACCAGCTTCAGACTTCTTGGCTTCCGAAGAAAACCAAAATGCTCTAGGATGATTTAAAGAGGCACGTACAGGGAATCCAGCACGCATTACCGTAGGACGAAACAACCTTCGCACACCATACATTATGAAATCTTTTTTTTTTGAGAAACCCGTATTTGGTGAAAGATGGGTTTCTATATGACCACAGCACTCCAAAAGAGTTCCTTAGGTGAGGGAATTGCGAACCCCAAAGGAACCTCATATATGATATAGTATACCCAAACGCAGTGGCTTAAAATGTAAACAAAAGGATGCTTTTTTTACTCCTTGCATGGATCTGAATGTCAGTAATATAATAGTACTAGAAATGATATTTAGTTTTTGGAATCCTTCTTTTCCCCTGCAATTCTGATTTGTAAATCTGCTACCTGTTAGGTTCCTTCTTTGATGGATACAGTAGAGTAAGAAAAGGTAAGCTGAAAAATGCAGCCCTAAATGACCTGAACTCATCATGTATTCATACATTTCTGTCTTGTATGTAGCTGGATGGGAAGCTTATGCACCGCGCTCATAACAGTTGGATCATAAAGGTCCAATTTATACGATGCATGCTCGCGAAGAGATTTTTCCAAAGGTGGTGGGGAAAAGAGGAAAAGAATCTATTAAATTTCAAATAATTCTCAAAAGATTGCAAGATTAGCGACGGGAAATATCGACTGGTCCATCATGTTCAAGAACTGACCTGGAAAACGAGTGCCCATTGAATGCTCAAACGAGCACAAAAAGAAAAAGAAGAAACACTATCATGCCTGAGTATGGATTTCCAAAACAATCCAGTATGACAATGCCTGTTCAAGAATAAATCATCATTCATGAAACAAACCTCATACCTTTTCCTTGCTTAAAAATTTTACCTTTTGTTTATATACTGCAATTAATTCTTTGAAACATCCTTGTTCATACAATTGTTGATTTATTTCATCAGTGATTTGTCGTAACCTCCATCCCAATACCCATTCTTAGAACGTTCCGTCTGTTTGTTCAAACGAACTTTAGAATCAAAAATTCTTATTCAACGTTCAGGAATTATCATTCTAAAGTCTTCAAAAGACCTATTTGACTCTTTTCTTGTATTTCTTGGAGACTCATTTGCTGCTAAAAGAACTTGCGTTTCATTAGACTCCATATCCATTGCGCATCCTCTGATAGAAAATTGGAATCATGCCTGTACCCAAATCGTTTGAGCAAAGATCTCTAATTGCTGTCATCGGTGATGATGATACTGTCACAGGCATGCTTTTGGCAGGGACGGGCCAAGTCAACGAAAACGGAGAGAAAAACTTTTATATTGTGAATCAAAGTAAGAGCATACATGAAAGAGAAATATTATACATGAAACCAATACTAACATAAAATTGGAAGAAACTACTGATGAACAAATCGCAAGTGTGTTTGACGATTATACTACTAAGCGCCCAGACATAGCAATTGTCTTGATTAATCAAATTTCTGCGAACAGAATTCGAGACAGGATTGACAGATATGTTCAGGCGTTTCCTGCTGTGTTAGAAATTCCTAGTAAGGACGACCCTTATGACCCCGAAAAAGATAGCATTCTTCGACGCGTTCGAAAGATTGTGGGTGAATAAGTTTGCATTTTGCCCTCTACTTATAATTTCACATGGAGTGGTTTCTTTATTTACGATATTTTGCTTTGCTAATCATCAATAAACCTTGCTTTTCGTACTGGTTTCAATATATTACTAGATTTTATTCATAGTCAAAAATGCATAAGGAGAGAAATGATAAATCATTGAAAAGGTAAACGGACTTTGGTTAAATTCATTGAATTTTGATTATCACTCAAGTCAATGGTTAACCCAAATCGAAACTCACATTACAACCACACGATGACTTTGCATGAGGGTTATTAATCAATTGAAACGAAGAGCCAATTAATTCTTTTGTATAAACGATTTCAGAACCGCTAATTAATGGTAATGAGATACTGTCCGCGACGATTCTAGCTGTTCCCCGAACAAACACACTAAAGTTGATTAGCATTGGGTCTGATTGAATAGGAATCATCTAAAAAGATTTCAAAAAGAATAGAAAAACCAAGACTTCTAACTTTACCTGTCATCTTTTCCTACTTTATCATCCATGTCGAAGGAAATTTGATATCCATGGCATCCACCACCATCGACAATCACGCGTAAAGCAACATCTTTTTGTCTCTTACTTGCTACTTTTTCCAGTTGTTGCTTAGCCGAATCGCTCATGTGTAATACATATGGTTTTCCTGATTCATCACATTGCTCCTGCAGGGTATACTGATCAGCGGCGGGCTTTGTAGAATTTTTTCGAATAAATTGAATTGGAGTTATTGTAGATTGATTGTGAATATGAGATACCCTTGAAAAGAAAGCAAATGGCCGAGTTTTCGTAGAGCTCATCCCATTCTTTAGCAACACGCCTGAAAAGCTTCTAGATGAAATATGCTTCCGCGCTACTTGCCAATTTCCTAAAAAAAGTGGATTTAAGCCACCTTTAATTGAAAAAAGCCCAGAATTCTTCCTCATGAATGCACTCATTTGTAATGCTTGAAGTGGTGAAAGGATAGTTTGTCGCCTCATTGCTAGTGATGAATATTACAAGACTTTTTCTTCATAAAGTCCTTTTTCTATTAAAAGAGAAGCCACTTTAATTTGAATAGCTATTTCTATATTCCCAAGTTTTCCTTGACGAAAAAGTGAGTGTTACGTATGCAAGGTTAGTTCAAACTTGGACGTTTTAAGAGTCGATTCCTCACTTTTCAAAGACAACTATAAAACACACTTAAGCAATTGCTTTCCTTCTTTTTGGCTAGCAATGTTTCTTTCTCAATCGCTTTAGACGAAAAGAAATCTGGTCATCGAGAATATTGTCCATCGAATTTCAGTTGACAAGTCGTATTTACAGAATCGACTTTGAGGATAGAATGTCCCTTAAAAAATAACAATTGCACTGTCTTAACTGCTTTGACGGCTACCTACAGATATATAATAAGCTTTTACACTAAGCTAGTTTCGATCTTTTCCAATTGAAACGAAACCTACCAAGATTCCTTGATTAGAAACTAAAAAGCATTATAACTGCATACTTGCCCTTCTTGGTGATCTCATCTCACCGTGTGCATGTGTGTGTTTTCTTTTTTTTGTTCCAAGAATCTCCATCAGAAAAGGGATTTCAATTTTTAGAATTAAATTAACTCAATGTATTTATTAAAAATAAAAGTATTAGAAATTCTATTCAAAGATCGAGAGGGCACGTCGTCGACTTCTGCACTCTAATCTGTTTCCCTTGAGCACTTCCCTTAAACATCGTATACCTTCCTCCAACGCTGAACATCCTTTTCAACGCTGGCTAGCAGCTATAGAAGAAGAATATGGATGAGTTAAAGCAAGCGATTGTTCCCACTTATATTCAGTCGCTTGGTTTAGAAGGAAGTTTGGAGTTATGGGTTCCTGCTCATGAAGACGATTCCATAATTGAAGTAGAAGCGGAAGAGCAGAACTTTGACTGCGAATCGATTCTAAAAAGCGAATTGATTGCTTTCGATAGTGGCATTTTTACTCGAAAGACCAATCTGTTCCCTCGTTGTGTTCATTGGAATGTTTTCAAGAATCAGACTTTAGTCTTAACTGAGGTATCACTCAAGAACGACTCTTCCTGCATACCTTCTTTTAATATTAGAATTCACTTTCCCTCCCAAATATTAAAGAACTGCGTGACTTTTGGATTTGATGATGAGAAAAATGAGTTGAGCCTTTTTGTAATTACCTCTACTAGAGTACTCTATTCTATCAAAGTAAAACCAGAATGGTTTTTGTCCTCTAATCCTACTGTCGATGAAGGTTGGTGCACTTGTTTTCGCCCTCCGTCCTTTTTAACTAAGACTCCATCTTATTCAACTGCAGTCAATCGTTTCTCTTTGTTTGTCACATTTAATTCGGGAGGACTTCTGAAGTTAAATACATCGTTCAACAGTGATGAAATTCAAGAAGAACATTATCATGATTCTAGGTACATGACATCCATCCGACATTATCTTACCCTGCAGGCATTCAAAGACGATTACCGCCCACCTAACAGCATTGTTTCAATGACTTATAACCATCGATACCATTATCTACTAACTATGAGTTTGGATCACAAGCTGAAAATCTGGAACGCCTTAAATGGTGTTTTACTGGAAACCATCTCCTTCGAACCGACGTCTATGCAAAATTCAAATGCGCTTTCTTATTTATCTATAGATAGTTGTACACAGTCATATGTTTCTATATATCATCCCAATGAGACTCGTGGATACTTTTCTCTTTACAGATTCGAGCTTGATCCTGATGATGGCTCATTCGTCAAATTGTCTCCAGTTACTACGAAGATTGCTCCTCCACATTTACCGGATGATGAGTTTTTACCTTGGACTTTGTTGAAAACCAATCTTGTTTGTTTGGATACACGGGATCTGCACTTCAGCTTGTCTTTAGCCTGGAAAAGTAATCTTCACGCTGTTATCCAATGTGCTTATGTCGTTCCGAACGTTGATAATACTGCAAGGGTTTCTTGGAAGAGTACGAAAAAAAATGGTTTTATTGGTTTTGATAAATTTTCTTTCGATATACCAACCAGTATGTCTTTTGGTGATGTTTCTGAAATCTGGGTTAATAATTTGTTGAACAAAAAGCATATATCTCCTGAGTCGTTACAATTGGCTTTGTTATGCTCTCAAAAAGTGAATCCATATACTTCAAAGTCAAAAATGGAATCTCTTCGGAGTACATCCTTAAATGAACTCATGAAAGAAATCACCAAAATGATTATTGGGTCTGTACCTGTTCAACCCGAGTTTGGCTCTTCATCATTTGATTACTCTGCATATCGTCAAACTCTTTACAATGAATGGGAGCGGTTCGCCAAATTAACTCTTTACTTGGATAGTTTTGGTGATGAAATTTTGAATATCGAAATAGACTCTAATTCGAAGGATACATATGTTTGCTATGCAAGCAAGATTGGTGTCTTACGACAACCTGTTTATATTGAATATCTTGATGGTAATTTAATAAGTAATATGTTACAACTCCCTGAAATGAAGGCTCCTGCTCTGGTATCGGGCTATCAGCTTCTTGACCTTGGTTGCAGCCTAGTAAGCTGCTTACCGTCTGCTACTCTTATGGAAATACGATTTTCTCTTCAAGAGCTGACGAAAAACCCAGCCTCATATTCAGTATTCGATACGTTATGGATTTTCTTTGATAAATATATTTACCCCAATGTAAATCCAGATCATTTGAAATCTTTGGCCGAAAGCTTTGCTTCCCGGGACAATCCGGTAGGTGATATAAAATTTCTTCTTGATTATATAAGAGACTTCCCGGAAAATTCAGTCCAGTTTAGTTCTACTCCTTTCTTTTCATTAGCACTATCGAATACGCTTATTGAAGTCCTTGAAAAATTGCAAACATCCCTTGAGGCCTTGATCTTCCTCCTTTCTATTGCTTGCAGTCAACAAGATGTGCAATTAGAACAAAAAGTCGTCGGCTCTGATGGAATATTCTTAGAGCTCCTTGGTAAATGGAAAGTAGTGAGCTTTTTTATTACTACTTTCAATTTGCCTTTAGAACAGGTTGATATCGATAGTTCGAAAGTCGGTGATAATACTTTACAGTCGAACCTTGGTACTATTTCGCACCTGAACACCCCTTTTGAAGTCCTTACAACCTTATTTTGCCGTGAAAATGCCTTAAGTAATCAATTTTCTTCGATACAAACTAGTATCAAGTCCTTCACGTCTCGTTTATTAGAGGATTCCTCTAGTAATCAGATGGTTTCCGAAGCTTTTGAAAAGCTACTTTTGCTAAAACAATACAATGTTTGTTCTGCTTTATTGAGCTGGCTTGGTTTTGATTCCATTTGCCAGTATTTTAAAGCTATAACGCATTTAGGATCAAAGGAAATTCAAAAATCTATCTATCACTTTAAACATGCTAATTTGAATTTCGAAAAAGTGGATCTATCGGAGCGTCCTCTTCTAAAAGCTTATCTGGATACGGCTAAAGGATACTCACTTGACAGTCATCTGTCTAGTTATTATTTACACGTTTCCAAGCTATTATCTACTGAAGGAGCCTATGTTGATGCCCTTGAATTTTCTTTGATGGCTGACGCAGTTAAAGGAGAAGATGAAAATTTAGTCTCTGATATTAGAATACAAATGTTCTTAACGTCTTGTGCTTCATCGAAGTTTGATACCGCGTACTCTACGCTCTTATCGATAAAGAACAAGGAAGAAAAGAACGATGCTCTCAACAAATTTATCAAACAATTGGCTTATAAAGGAAAACTATATCGACTTATCGATTATTCGATGCCATCGCTTCAAGATGAAGTTGATACTATCTTAGAAAAAAAATCTTTTCAAATGATTGACGTTCGATGTCAACCGTGCTGGTATAATATATTGTATAGTTGGCGTTTAAAAAATCAAAATTACCGTGATGCTGCTGCAATAATTTATGAGAAATTATTGCGCTTAGTTTCCTTTGATGGCTTCAAGAAGGAACAGGAAACCGAAATACTGGAAAGCTACCTTATTGTTTTGAATGCTCTTAAGTTATTAGATCGCGAAGAAGCATGGATGTTGGTAACGGATGTATCCAAATTGACAAATGACAAAGAACTAAGGTACTTTCCTCAAAAATTAGTTACTTTGGACAATGTATTGGTGGAATATGAAGCACACCTTCAGAATGTTGCTAGGAATGTTACATCTCAGTTTTCTTCCACAGCTGCTATAGGTTTTTAGCTTCTTGGGATAAAAAGGCCAATGACTTTATAAATCTAATATTTTTTTTGTTGACTTGAGTAATTCCGGTATAAGTGTACTTTCACGTTGAGTTCACAAACAATAGCACAATGTCAAGACAAGCAAATAGTTAAGTTAAAAGGTTTCGAGTATGCGTTCTTATATAAGCAATCTAACAAACAATCGCTTTTACTAAAGCACGTTTTTTACTTATCTGAGTTTTTTGATGAAAGTGACCAAAACAGTTATAAAATAGTTACATTCAAGTCATAGCATTAAATAAAAAGCTTAGAACAATGTACTTACTTATAGCTAATAGAGAACTCCCAACTTTCTTTTTGCTCACCCATTTTTCCCAACCGTAAACCAACACAAACCCAATCCATAAAAAATTGAATTTATACCCATACATTATCGGTTTACATCTTTTCCAAATGCTATTAGATTGAACAATTCGTAATGAAATTTACAGCATTCAAAAGCTGCCGAATTACGAAAAAATCAACCCGGGCTCTTTTCCCTACCTTCATAGCGAATTACAGCTATTGTATAGCTAGTAATCCTTGGTATTTTATCTTAATATTTACTCTTTTATCAATTACTGGTATTTATTCTGCATTAGTTGCGTATCAGCAGTCCCTGTCCGATTCATCATTGACTAATTGGTCTGCTTGGTTTGCAGAATGCATAAATGCCAAGCCCTTAGTTATTACAAAGCAGCTTTACCTTCTTGGAACAAATTCATCAGTATATTCTGAGGATTATCTTTCAAACGCTTATAGATGGGAAACCAGTTTCCATGAATCCTTGGCCCAAAACGATTACCCTTGCATCAGAGATGAGAAATCATGTGTAACTATTTCTCCAATACCAAAATTCTACGAAAAGGTAAATCCAATAGCAAAATACTCCTACACGAAAAGCCTGCCTGAAGAACCACGCTTATTAAATAACGATACAATCGCTGAAGGGAGGGATTCTTTGAGCGCCTTTGTGATAACTTATTTTTTAAAGCCTGAGCATTTAGATACTTTTAATTCTGTGCTGCAAAGCTTTATCTCAGAATCTCCACAACTGTATGCTAGTACAATTGACCAGAATCCAACGACTGTTGTCGCTCGAATTCCAGATATAATACGCATCCATCGTTGGTACTTATGGTTTGGCTTTGGAATATTACTCTACGGCTATTTATATCTTTCTTTAGTTCGTTTACAAGATGTTCGTGCTAAATTCGGTTTAACTTCGACGATATTTATCCAGAGTGGGACAGCTTATCTCTCAGCTTGTTCTATTCTTTATTTTTTTGAAAGAACCGGGCCTATTTGCCCCTGGCCAGTTGCTTACTACATAATTATCTTTATGGACATAGAAAATTCGTATTGTTTTTTTTTTTTTTCCTTTTATCAATTTTCCTCAAGATACTAACTGTTGACAGATTCCGTCTTTTACGAGTGGTCATTGCATCGTCACCAACTAAACGTGTCCCATCACGCATAATGGAAGGTTTTACTGCTACCTTTTTAACATCATTAACCTCCTTATTTACCAAGTTGGTGACACTTTTCATTTTAAGTTTTTTTGTTTATCCGCTTGTTCAGGAATTCTGTTTGTTTCTTGCCTGCTCTTTCGTTATTAGTTTTATGCTTCATATGAGTTTTTTTCTGGCTGTGCTTAGTGTTGATATTCGTCGTTTAGAACTTCAAGATTTCCTTGATGCTCCAACTTCAGCGATTAATGCAAAACGGTGGTTTACGTACCTGGATTATTTTAAATTCCTGTGGTCTCCGTACATCATAAACAATTTAGGAGTATTCTCGTTGTACGCATTTATTATTTTTCTTCAGTTAAGGTCGAGCATGCAAATTAATGGCTTTTGGCGGCTTGCTTCTCCCAACATTCGTTTTCTCATCACTCTTTATCATAGACTTGGTAGAATCACTCGTGAGCGAAAGTTATTTCCTCTAATCACTACTGGCTGGCTTGCCGATTCTTCTTTTTTAAAGGATTTGGCACGAAAGACTGATAATGATGAACTGGTTTTCGCTTTGTATAGGCCAATCATTATAGATACCATTGACCGTGATAATTACACAAGCATCTACAACTCTTTCTACGATAGACGAGTATGGAGATGGTCAACCTTTTTTAGCGTTTTATTTATCATTGATTTTGCTGTTGGCATCTTGGTAAAAGGACTACTACGAGGCTGGTCCGACCATGATGAGAACACAAATGATGATTCTCTGCACCAAGAAAAGTTTGTGATTCATCCCATTCCACTCCATCATCAGCTTGATATATTACGGATCGCAATATCTAGCAATCATAAAACACTGGCAAGTTATGGTTTGGATAAGTGCCTTGTTGTTTGGGATTTACAGACAAGTCAGGTAAAGCTGAAATTGAACAAGCAGCAAATGCCGAAAACTCTCAAAACTTTTGCGATTGATCCAAGTGGAAATTTAATTGCTTTGTTTTCGAAAGATATACTGTATATCTTAGATGTCAACGCGCCTTGTCTGTTATTCCAATGCTTTTTCCAATGTCAAACTAAAGGTAGATTGAATGCATTTTGGCTTCCTGAAGAATATTTAAGTGAGGAAGTTAAAGTGTATGATTTGGTGGTAACAGAACCTTCAGGTGATATTCAAGTTTTTCGTGTTAAAATAAATGACGGAGTTGCGGAAATTCTTCTGGAGCAGAAGTTTAGCTTGAATGCTGTCATTTTGAAGTCTATCCCAATACTTTCTCCTATAGCAAATCGCTTCATTTGCTTGACAGTTGAAAACAAGGTGATTGTCTACACCAAGAAAGGTTCTGAATGGACATCTAGCAATATAAACGAAAACAACAAGGTTTCATCGGAACGGATTAAAGACATTTTTCCTATTTCTCCAGCCGACATGCTTTTTATTGCTGATGAAAGCAAGATTGCAATGATTAATCTAAAAGATAATTGCATTACTCATAGCTTTGCCATTCCCAATGTCGCTGATGGAACTCTGACCGTGGGAGTCAGTAACAGCAGATTCGTGAAAGGGCAATTTCGTATCTCATCTATATCTTTTTGTTTTGTTCATCAGACAACAAGAAATGTCGTCTATCGTCACTATGGGAGTGCGGATAATGAATCTTACATGGTGCTGAATGAATGGGGCATGGGACCGAACCAGGTGGATTTACACGACCCTGACAATTCAATTATGGAAGAATCGGTTGAAAACCTTCAAGAAAGTATACAAGAGATGCAAAATGTTGGTTCATGGGTGATGAGTTTTGATGGAATGTATGTTTATGGAATAAGGAGTCGAAAAAACATTGAAAAGCCGCGTGCAGGTCAACCTGTAGATTTATATGCCAATGCTTCCCTTCGTAATCGGAAGCAAAAACTTAGTCACCATCATGACTGGACTTCTTATGTACCACTTCTAGATTCTTACTTACAAGAAGTAAGGCAAAAGAGATCGTTGCGAGGGAACAGTGGTTCTCAGTCATGGGAAGTATGGATGTATTCCCAGGCAGAAAAGCGCGAGCAGACAAGGCAGCTTAAAATGTTTAATCAATTATATATAGCTGAGCCAGGTCCCAGTTTGGTGATATCCCAACGTTCAGTTGCTATTACCCTTGGGAATTATATTACATTTGTTGGTTATGGCAGCAAAAATGCTCGTGAATTTTACTATGACAATGTTTCCAACGAAATGAGTATGATATTAGAACAAAAAAGAAAATCCTTGATGTGAGAGGCTGTTTTCTGGGTGAACATCTCTTGTTTTAGTTTCTCCTATAATGTTGTATTATTTCAGTTATGTACTATTAGGTTTTTATGGGTTGTTTCAAATTGTTTCTAGAAAAAAAAAATTGAGTTTGTGGTTTTCTTTTTTTCCCAATTTACGTTGGATTTTCATTGATACATCCTAACAAGCCGGTCTTGTTTAAGTATTGAATTCGTTAAATTAGTTGTTTTATTATATAAATTCAATTTCAAATTAATATATCTGTTTTCTGTTTCAGTTATTTACTTAGTGAATGAGTACTATAAGTGTCAAACGTTTGAGTTTGCTGTTGAAGCAATGTTTAAAAAGGAAAATCTTTTCAAGATGGACATTCAGCAAATTCATTTTTTCTTATTATGAGAACCAGAAGCAACACATGAAAGCCATTTCTTAAATATCTTATACGTACAAGTTTCTTCGTTCATAAGCAAAAACTCATTCTACAGTGCATTTCTAAAATCAGCTTATAGATTCAGGCATTTCAATAACATAAAAAAGGCTTTCCTAAGTAAAGAGATAAAAAATTAAAAATAAGAATATATCAAGCACTCTACCAAATAACCTTTTCATATATGTGTATGGTGGATACTGAACACTCTGGTGTTGCAACCTTCACCGTACTCTTCTTGGATCTTTTTCATATACAGTCCCTATTCCTTATATTTTGAAAAAAAATTAGCTTGAGAATTGATTAATGTTGAATTAAAGTAATGTCTATACTGCATAAAACGTATCGGTTGTTTCGCAAACAGGCTCATGGAATCCAATTGAACACATGCCGATGGAATAGTACCGGCAGAAATGGATTCGTCGATGAACTATTATCTTCTAAAAAGGCTTTAGCCAAAATAAGTACTCTGAAGACTAGAATTGGTTTGCAACCAGACTTTCCTGTGAATGGTTTGGCGCAAGCCATGATTGATAAAACGGCAGTGCAAAATGCAGCACTTTCCAACGAGAAGTTATGGACAGTGGGAAAAGTTTTTGGAGATATGTATGTTTTAGAGAAAATTAAATGTTTATACCCGCGACTTCCAGAGAAAGGAGTCCAGGCACTGCATGAAGGACTGTTAGGCTCTCGCGCTTTAAATCGCCTGGGAAATTCTTGGGGATTAGAAGTACAACGTTGGAATGAAGATCTCAAACAGGCTTATGGAAAAGTGCTGGCGAAGACAACTGAACCAGAAACTACTCGAATGCCTGGGGAGGTTTATAAACCAGATGCCATGAAGCGAACTATCCTTGCTATTTTAGGAGCAGTACATTTGGAAGGGGTAAGTAAAAAAGGTTTTTCTTTCATTTTGATTCATTTACTCATGCCTATTCTATAGGGTTACAAAGCATCCAAACAGTTCGTTGACAGTCATATCTTCTCTCGTCAATTAGAACCACGAACTATGCTACAAATTCTATACCCGCGCAGACAACTGTCTCGATTATGTAGGAGACTCAAGCTCAAAGACCCTGTTTACAGAGTAGATGCAGAAACTGGTCGAAAAACCAGGGAGCCTGTCTTCATCATTGGAGCTTATTCTGGTCCATTCTGTCTTGGTCAAGGTCAAGCAAGTAGTATGGATCTAGCCGAACAGCAGGTACGTAAGACCAAAAATGAACAGGAAAGAATCTGTTAGGACATGTTGGAACAGTTGGAACAGTTGACGAATGACGCACGGCTTTGAGTTTTTTTCGGTGAGAATTTCACCATCGATATATAGAAAACAGAGCGCTACACCATGTTGGTTTGTCATGTTGCACACTGTCCAGCGACTGTTTGAATTATGATTTTTGATAATACACATGCTAACGACTATAGGCTGCTTACAATGCTGTTCTGTCTTACTATATTCATTCTCCTCCTTTTGAACAATTCCCTAGCGATACACTACAAACATCATCCGCACCATTTTCTCCTATTCCCTATATTTCACCCGGAGAGTTAGTTCTGTAAACAATAGGGTAGGGTTCGGAAAAAGGCAGTCACTTTGTTGTGCCCAACAATAGACACCACCATGGAAGTAGTGTTTATCTTTAACAAACACCAAAATGTCTGCCTCTGAACTTGCTACAAGTTACTCCGCTCTCATCTTGGCTGACGAGGGTATCGAAATTTCCGTAAGTGTTTTCAGATGGCGAGAGAGATGAAACTGAAACGGTATTTCATGCGAATTTTCCTCTTTTGTGGTAAAATCGATTCGCGAATGGATCTTTTTTTAGATGAATGCCAAGTTTATGTCTTGTCGTCATTTATGCTTTCTTGAAACAAATATCAGAATGCTAATTGTAATAGTCTGACAAGCTTTTGGCTTTGACCAAGGCTGCTAATGTCGAAGTTGAACCCATCTGGGCTTCTATCTTTGCCAAGGCTCTTGAGGGCAAGGACTTGAAGGAACTCCTCTTGAACATTGGTTCTGGTGCTGCCGCTGCCCCTGTTGCTGCTGGTGCCCCTGCCTCCGCTGGTGAAGCTCCTGCCGAGGAGAAGAAGGAAGAGGCCAAGGCCGAAGAAGAGTCAGATGAAGATGTAAGTTTTTATTTAAGCATATCCTAGACTGAGAGCGGACAGTTCCTTTCTAGTCATGCTTCAACTTTATTCTGTATCTTTACATTTACTAACCCTTTTCAGATGGGATTCGGTTTGTTTGATTAAAATGACTGTCAATGAGAATCTATGTATCTTTTCAGCTGTTCTTCAAATATTTGGCATTTAATAGGCATTTCCAAAGTGTAAAAAGGATTTTTCAGAACGTAGTCTGCGTAAAGCTCGTAGTACTTTTGTAGATGAGGTAGCACGTTGGTATTTTTCTTGTCCGTAAATAGCACAAATTTGACTCCTGTACGTGTCTGTAAGATGTGCATATTGAATGTTGAAGCCTCTAAGCATTGAATTCCAGATGATCCTGGTAAAGGACTGATTTGTGTAGAGATGGCATGAACACTGGGCTGTTAGTAGCTTTTCTTAAGTGCGAGTATTAAGGCTATTCCTAGGATAGCTCTAAGACTTTGTTCAATTTCAATAAGTAACAGACATCACCACAATCGTTCTTGCTAGTATTTATGAGCAACCAGATTAGGTTTCATCACAAGAGGTATAGGCTAGGCTGTCTGTCCTAAGAAGATTTCGTTCCATCATCGATTTGACTTACCCATGGATGGTACCGGCTAAAATTAAGTACTCATTTGGCGTTAGTGATGTAGGAGCCGATCCATATTCGCGATGAAAGATCAGAGATCCTGCACGGTTAATGATTAAGATAGCATGCATAGAAAAACTTGGTAACAATAATCAAAGAATCAAATAAATCAAATAAGTAATAAAAATAAAAGAAAATAGTCTATCCTTTCAAGCTATGTCCCAATCGTACGCTCAAAAGTCCAATAATGATGTTGGTTGTAGCGATCATAATTCTCTAGGCGACTACCAGCATGTCGATGACTGTAGGGAATGTGGTTTTTGGTAAGAATAGACGATAAATTTTTTTTGCTAACAGATTCATAGTCGGAAATATACCTTATGATGTTTCTGAACGCCAGATGACAGAAATCCTTGAACAAGTGGGTCCCGTAAAGCAGTTCAAGCTGGTTATGGATTTAGAAACAGGTAATGGAAAAGGCTACGGATTTTGTGAATTCTATGATAGCGAGACAACTGCTTTAGCTGTCCAGCGGCTTAATAATCGTGAATTTTTTGGTCCTCGAAAAATTCGTGTAGAATTTCCTTCCAATGATCCTAGAAGACATCAGAATTATGGACACCAAGAAAAGCATGGAGATCTTGCCTCATCCTCCTTTGATTCTAGTCACGCAAGTCGATACCCAAACGCTCCTCCCCATCTTCGTCCTCATCCCCTTGCTTCGAATATTAATTCTTCCTATGCCTCCGATTATAACATTCCTTCTACTATGCCAACTACTTCTCCCGCTCCTTATTCATCTTCTGCCACGAACGAATTCAGTGCAGCAGCAAATATGAACTCTGTGCGCCGAGGCGCTTATCCAAGTTCATCCTACCCTCCTTATAATTCAGCTTCTACCATTGCGCCTGCGGTACCTTCTTATCCTGCTACAGCTACAGCTACAACGACAACCACAGCTAATACTACTCCCTCAATTCCAAGCACACCATCTTCGACACCTTTACCTGCTACCAAAGCCGCTTCCGAAGCAACCCAGCCTTACTCCGTCCCTTCCTCTGTTGCCAAAGTTTTTTCCTCTTTTACTGCACAAGAGTTACTAACCATGCTCACTCAACTTCAGACCGTAGTCCACGTAGCTCCCGACGAAGCCAGACGTTTATTAAATGCAAACCCTGCTCTTCCTTATGCTGCTTTCCAGGCCATGCTTTTAATGAATATGATTGATTCCCGTGTTTTACAGCAGGTTGTTTTGTCGATGCGCAACAATCCTGCTCCTTCTGCTTCCCAGGCTCCCCAGGCTCCCTCACGCCCGGTTTCTGCGACTCGTCCTGATACTGCTATGAAAACAGATTCTCAAAATATTGAAGCAAAGCGAGTAAGTTAATCGTTTCCCTTTGATGTCTGCTAACATTTTCGTTATATTAGATGGCTCTTATTAACCAACTTATGGCACTTACTCCCGAACAAATCCACTCTTTACCTCCCGCACAAAGAGAACAAATCATTGCGATTCGGCGACAACATGGTGCTTTGTAGGAAGTCACCCGTTTTTAACGACTGTTTTCCTTGGGTTTTTATATCATGTATTTGAAAAAGTGCATTTTCATTTGGTTTCATAATTATTTCTCATGTAAATTTAGTCATGCTTATTTTATTTTTTGCTTTTCTTGTCTCATAATATTAGATGCTTTATGAGCTTGGTTGTTGATCTTTCAACTTTGTCTACAACAAAATAGATATGTTGACATGTATAAAAAGTGTACTTGAATATATGTTTTACTTGGTTTCTAGAATGGTATTTTCAACTCGTCTGTACAAATAACTATGGACGCAAAAACACGTCGCATGCTAGAAGCTCTTATTGATCACTGAAAACAACCAACTTTATAAATCAACCCTAATAGATTTTGGGAACATCGTGGAGGTATACTTATTCTGCTTTTCGTACGTATAGTATATGTAACAAAAAATGCTTGAAGAATCAGTAAACTTCCAACATCTGTATTTCTATGTTAAATTTTATAGCCTTTTACAAATATAAAGAATACATACAAATTCCGACAACGTATCTTAACTTATAAGTATAAAAATTTGATATCTCAAGCGCATGAGTACTTGCCTATTACCTACTTACTAAAGAAAAAATTGCCAAAATGAATAATCCTATGGAAGAGCAGCAAAGTGCTCTTTTAGGACGCATTGTGAACAACGTAGAAAAGTTGAATGATAACGTTTGTAGATTAAACCAAGCATTACAGGTAAACTTTATGACATTGGAAAAAAAATCATTGAAGAGGAAATTGTTCATCTAGTTACTGACCAGGTGTAGAACATAAATATGTCAAACATGAATGTAGAATTAATTAGCCAAATGTGGGCAAATTATGCGCGAAATGCAAAGTTCCATTTGGAGGAAACAGGCTCCTTAAAGAACCCGATTTAAGCAACAAAGTGGAGCTATTTAGCGAAATTTATTGTAAAGAATGAGGAGAATAAGAATGACCAAGATAGCGATGATGCCTGTTGTAAAGAGTCGATTCATGGCAAGCCTAAAGCATTGTTCGTCATTAGCTACAACGCTCACTTAAAGGGAAGAGCCTTGGATTCAACAATAACCAAGAATTTGGACCATTTTCGCTCTACATAAAAGATTTACTTACCTTCGCGCCATGGTTTTTAACGTTCTCAAGCTGCGATCTAGATGTCCAGAAGTGTCTCCTAACTGGTAGAAGTGATTAGCTGAGGAATAATAATATAAAAAAAGAAAACAGCCACTCAACGTCCAGTGTAGAGAGTAATTTCTCGTAGGCTTTAAGATACAGCACTCGTAGTTGTACTCCCATTAACTGAAAGGTTGAATACATCACCTTCTTACCACTCCCAAAGAATGTTCCAACTGATTTCTTTGCCCATGAAGATCACGTAAAATGTTAGCTCCTATGCCCTCTGTTTCGTTGGCAACACGCTGAGAATCGAGAAGCCTTTGTGATGCTTCTTCCATTCGATTATTTCCCTGTAATAAGCGAGTTCTTTGGTCATAGTCTTGATCCACAGCTTTATAGTCATCAGCGATAGAATCACGCTGGCCGAATAAGGCTTTTCGGTTTGCACCGGCCATTTCGGTTTTCTAGATTTCAAAAGTTAATGATCATGAATAGGTAATCTAAGATGAAAAAAAAAAAAAAAAAAAGAAGTTTGGAAATTCACGCCCATCCTATTAATGGAGCCTATAATCTCCTTTAGTAGCTAACTTACGAAAACATTTCTCCATTCTTCTAACTTTGTCCGATAACTTCTAATTCGGCCATTTAGAGCTCCTCGCTCTGCCGTTGGAACACTGCCGGCTTCAATTTCTATCTGTCCAATCTTCAATTTGTCAGTATTTGCTTTTCTAAATTGATTCAACTTTTAGAGTATTTCGTCCGGCTGTCCATACCACTTCATCGATCTCATTCAAAAGTCGTTGACAAGCTTGAGAAGCTGTACTTTCACCAGTTCTTGCTAAGTCATTCAGCTTTTCTTCAATATCCGCTGCAAGCAAACTGTCATTTGTAAGAATGTATTTTCAAGGAAATTCCATTCGTACCGATATTCCTGCTCATAGGTCTCCATATTCCAGAAGTTAAATAGTTCTACAATGAAAACAGAGATGTAATTCCTAGAAAATCGATTAATTTATTCAATTCTAAGTATCTTTGTTTTTGGAAGATGATCACAGTCAATACGTGATATCATTCTTTATAAGAATATTATAAGAGTTATTAATGTACAAGAAAGAGAAGTATAGGTAGAAAGTCGAAAGATATTAAACATGTAAAACGAATATATTAAATCATAAATATTTCTAGTCGTAAAATATACAATATTAACTCATTATGCGTGGTTTTAGGAGGAAGCTAAAAGATGATCTAGTTCACTCTCAAAGGACTGAAACTGGTTCTTCCAATACTGAATCCCAAATCCGATATCTTCATGGATATCCCTTACAATATAACCCTCTGATTCAGCTGATTCAAGTTGCTCCATGGTGACTCCAATCGACCAATGCAACTTCATGGCACATTGCGAGATGGTTACGGTGGGCTGCATTGTATCCAATAAGGCAGAAAGGAATTTTTCTCTTTGGTTAGGAAGCTTCAGCTGAAATAACGATACTCCAGATGATAATTTGGAGACATGAATTCCTAAATCAAGGGTAGGAAAAAGTTCACAGGCCTTCGCAAAATCGGTGGGTGAAACAAGTTCGGTTTTTCGAGCTCGATTGTACATGGCCCATGCATGGGTCATGGTTATGGTATCTGTGTCTGACTTTAAATGATTCAGCAATAACTCAGAGATACTTTTACATAGCTCCACCTGAAAAAGACGTGCGTTGGAGCTGTCAGAAACCATGTTTGCATAATTATTCCTTAGTAAACCCAGTTGCTGTGTACGTTTTAAAAGCTGTTGAACTCGATCCGATTGCTTGGCAAATCCGGCAAGATTTTGTATACGTTCCACGAATTGATCTGCCAGTTCCATTGTTTCACGAGTTAGCGAAAAGAACGCATCTAGATCTTGAAAAGCTCTAACTAGCGTCTGTCCATTTTGTGCAAGCCTGAGGGCATGAGATTGCTGAAGACCATGAATACCCCCTATTCGTAAAGACTTTTCTTTGATGATCTTTCTCAAATGATTGGTATCTCGCAAAGCATTCTCCTTTTTTTCAATCAATCCTTTTCTCTGCTCATTGAGTACTTCAAAAAATCTAGAAGAGCCACCATTTCGAAAGGAAAGCTGAATGTGCTCTGCAGTGGGCAAACGAGTAAGCTGAGTACCGCAAATCTCGCAAAATAATAAATCAGGATAGTTTTGAAAAGTGCAAGTAGGACAAAGTCCTTTTTTTTTTCTTCTTTCTTCCGTGGCATGAGAATCTGCTTGTAAAAGGCGAAATCGACCTGCGACGCCGCAATTCTTGCAAGGGTCCAGGGTACTCCCTAAATTATTGTAAAAGCATATTTTACATGCCCATTTCTCTTGTACAAACTTCAAGTAGAGATGAACCTTAGGAGAAGACCGAAAATACCGCGAACTGTGATTCACATCGACAATATCGGACAAGCGAGTTTTTAAAGAGTTCTTTTTCGCGTTTTGAGAATCTACATAAAACACATGTTTCTGGGAAATGTATAGAGTCCCATTCGCGTAATCGGGACTCTTCTCGTCATCAAAATATAATCCAACACAATTTTGTGCATGTATGATTTCTTCATCGGCATCAAGAACGGGAAGGTTGGAACTAGTAGTTTCGAGATAAAATGTCATGAAAGTTCTATTTTCTTGCTAAAGTGGGGATCAGAAACGAGAAGACAGTTACATTCAGTTGTAACTTGCCAGGTATAGAATGGATATTTATCGCGAAATCCAAAGATAAAGAAAAAGGTCTAACACAGTTTTAAATAACTATTCTCAATAGAGAAGATGAGCCGTGACAGTCAAGGGAGCACACTTTTCGTTTTTCACAGAATTCCAAAACTGAAAGAAGAATCATCCAAAAAGACAATGATTGAAATGATAGACGTTTCAGAAAGTGATTGTCTGTAATGAATACGGGAATGAGTCCTTGGAGACTCTTTGAAGCTCGCTTTTTATTAAGTTCTCTTGAGACACAGCGTTTAGAAAGGGATTCTTTATTAATACAACAACAAGATAAGAATTTATGCTCAATATTCCTCATGAAAACAGCAAGTTATAGCTGGTTTACAGAGGTGCCCCAAAGAACCCAAATGTAGCATGTTTCCTTAACAGCATAGCAGCAGGAATAGACAAGTAGAGCGTGTTCGTTATTAACGATACGTTTGATTGTTCGACTACATAAAGCTCTTTATCGTAGTGCATTTAGACTCGCTAATATAAAAGTGACGAAGAAATTGAGCTGGAAAAGGCCTAGTATATTTTCAATACAGGAAAGCATGAGTAGTGATTTTTACGTGCGCTATTAGTATGGAATTGCTGTGCTCTATGGGTGAAACATGAAAGCTAACTTTTGCTACAAAGTTCGGGTCACTATGGCCGGTTTGGACACGAGTTTTTGGGTACGCGCTTGAGAAGCACTTTGTTTATATGGTTTTCTTGAGGAATGGCAGTCTAACAGAGTCATTAGAATTTGATTATCATAGCGATGGACTTGGTATGGGTCGAATACATGAAATTGACGATTGTGCTTGGAAGCAATCTCGAAGCACGGTACTAACAGAGGCAAAGCCCGTTATGCAAACAATTCGAACTATCGAAATGATTCTCTAATTCGGAAAGAGAGTATGGACTGACGGTGGAATCTTTTTTTTGCTTATGCTAACAATTATGGGTATCTAGTGTACGTTAGCCCTTTAGTGTTGAAAGAAATTCAAAACATTGTAGAAGAAAGTGAGATAATAAAGTATGAGAACTAAAACCGCTTGACTTTGTACTTACTAGTTTCTTTATAGAGAGTCCGATGAGCAATGGCCTAGGAAAAACAAGGATGGAAAACAAGAATTAGAAATCCGTATGAATGGACAGCATATTATGTTTGAGGTATGTTTTGCACCATTATTTAGCTACACAAATGCTATTTGGGCAATAATTGTTCTGCATTTCGATAACTTCAAACGCTGACGGAAAATAGACTAGTAAATTGGGCAGTTTGGCGGATGTTCAAAACAGCGAAGATCCTGAAGGATTACGAGTATTTTACTATTTAATTCAGGATCTAAAAGCCTTGTGCTTTAGCTTGATTTCCCTCAATTTCAAACTGCGGCCAGTTAAAACATAGATGACATGTCATGTTTTCCACAAATGAATCAAATGCATTGATGGAGAAAAAATTGGTTAGAAAAATTATTTTCTCCTTTCAAAACCTTGCCGTTATTGCCTTGGATAATCTTTTGGCCATGGTCTGGTGAAAGACATGGATAGATGATTCTTTTTCGAAGCATTTTTATTTAAAACAACTTGTCCTATCCTTGAATACAGACAAAATGAAAAAGAAAAAACAATATAAAGAAGTACCTAGCAAAATCACTTTGGTATCGCATCTGCCAGTTTTTACTGTTACTGCTACTCGCCAAGATTTTCGTCTGGGCATTTGCCCAGACAAAGCTTTTTGTAAATATTTTCTTGTTTCTATTTTCTTTCCTTCGTTCTTTCTTTTTTCGTTGGCATGCCTTTGTGTAAAGTAAGTTTTTGCTTGTACTGCAGAAATCTTAGAACATTAAATTGAAGACGAATTTTTGATTCTTTTCTCGCTATCGATCAACATCTTAATTTTTTTTCTAATAAAATTGGTTCAAGTATATAGCTGATGGGATAAGACAACGATGACTCTCAGGAGAAAGCTTGCCGAAACGGTTCAAGAGAATCCTTTATTGTAAGATTTTTTTAAGCAAATCAATAAATTTTGAAATGAAAATTGACTAAAAACCGTGTAATCAATTAGCCAAGAATATGGTTTTTCAACTGAAGGAAAACTTGCGTTCTGCCAACATGCCCGATTTATCATTGTACAAACAGACGGTCGATTTGTACCTTTCGATTGCTCCTGCCCGCAGTAGGGATCCTCTTGCTGCTATTCATGAGCATTTGGATAGTATGGTTCTCAGTAAAATGCCTCGAATCAATGGAATTTTGTTGGCATACGACAATGTTCGATTTCTGGAAAAGAGCGCAAAAATTATGTATGACTCGCCTTTTTCCTATTGTTGGATTCGTGTAGACGTTTTAGTTTTTTCTCCAAAGAAAGGAGACCGTCTTGGTAAGTGTTTTTCTGTTGATATTTTCCACGATTTTTCTTGATTTTCAAAAGAGCAAAAGGAGCCGGTAGATGCTAACTTGTATGTATTTTAGAAGGAAAAATAAATCTGGTGAGTCCTAGTCATATTGGTCTCTTGGTTTTGGGGATTTTCAATGCGTCCATTCCTCGAAAATCCATTCCTTCTTCTTGGACCTTTATTGAACCGGACACTACAGAAGAACAAGGGCGTTGGAAAACTAATGATAAGCAAACCGTGGAACCAGGACAGTCGTTAGAATTTCAAGTTGATGGGTAAGTGGATCTCACCTCTGGTTTTACCATGACTAACACGAAATAACTAGGCTTCAGCGCGAAGCTGGATTGACAATGGTGCAAGGAACATTAATTGAAAAATCTTAGTTTTGTAATAGATGAAAGGAATAAGGATTTTTTTTTGGGCTCGGACTTGCAAATTATACATACAACTACTCATTCGTAATCTCTTTTCAATTGAGTTTCTGAGAATAGCATCTCAGTACTTGTACTTGTTGAAATATTAAAGAGAGCAAATACTGTTAATCTTGACAATTAAGAAAGAATCCATACTAAGCAATGGGTGATATTACCTGATGAAACTTACGGAGAAACTCCTTCTTACCATCACAGACAATGACTATCAAAACTTAAGAGTAATTCCAAATTTAATTTTAATGAATAACCTATATTAATCAATTGTATTTTTCTGACATACAATAAGAAGGTGATTGTTTTATTCTGGGATTTGGCAATGACTTTTCGAATTACCAGCAGAACATATCTTTTTCATCCAGTATTCAATTATTTCTTCATTCTTATTAATTGTACTCAATTTCGCCTCCTTCAGTTGCATAGTTCTATCCCAATGGCTGATCAAAAAATCCCTAGTGACGCCAAGATTCTTTCTCATCTTTTCTCTTGCAATTGAATAGGAATTGAGTTTTTGTTTTACTTTATTGTTATTCATCAAAACGTTCATTCCTATTATATGGATCATGACGCTTTTAAATATTTACTAGGCAACCAACAACTTAACTTCAACCATAATCGATGGCACAGCGATTAACATCAGCATTTTTGAACTGGCGGGAGCATATAACAGCCGCCAGTAAAAGCTCAAATTTTGAAACGACTGGAATGATAACTCCTGAAGAGGTACGATATTGAGATTCTAATGTTTCTTAACGACAACGGTTCCTAACATGTAATTAGTTTGTTTTAGCAGGAGATTATCTAGTAACAAAGTTTCCCACTTGGAGTTGGGAATGTGGCGATCGCATTCGAGGATTTTTACCTAAGGACAAGCAATATTTGGTAACTCGGCATGGTATGTCACACAAATGAGCAATTCGTATAGAATTTATTCTAACTTTCTAGTTTTATCTGTACCTAGAGAGATAAATATTGAAGCCAACGGGGAATGGGTGGATGTAGAAACGGAAGATTCGAAATTCAAGCTTTCAGGCATAGATGACACTTCATCCGTAAGCAGCATCCATAGTGAACAAAGTGGTTCTTTGTCTCAAGAACGGTTCCATGGAGCTTTTGGGTCTGCTAAAGCTGCTAGTAATTTGTCAGATTCGGAAGGTTTACCTCTACAGGATGAAGAAGATGATGACTTGCAGATGGTTCCGCTAACCGTTCCTCGAAACGAAGCTCGAAGATATGATTTATACATTGTATACGATAAGTATTATCGTACTCCTCGGTTGTTTCTTCGTGGATGGAATGCCGGTGGCCAGTTACTTTCCATGAAAGACATTTACGAAGACGTGTCCGGAGAGCACGCTGGAAAAACCGTTACTATGGAACCATTCCCTCATTATCATTCTCACAATACAATGGCCAGTGTTCATCCATGTAAACATGCTAGCGTTTTGTTGAAGCTCATAAAGCAACACTGCGAAAGAAACGAGCCGATTCGTGTGGATCAATACATGGTTCTCTTTTTGAAATTTGTTTCAACCATGCTTCCATATTTTGAAATTGATTATACCATGCAAGCCTAAAGTGCACGATCTTTTTTTTTTCATTTCTTATATTATTACTTCAGTATCATGATAATTCTCCCAATACACGGTGATAATGAATATCGTTTCTATGGTATTGGAACTTAATCTGTTGTTTTTACGAAACGTTTTTTTGTTTTTGTTGCTTTTGTTTCTGTTGATAACTTTCGGACTTTCTTTTTTTTACATACAGACATTTGCAATAATGACCCCGTTTTTACGTCCTTTATGATGAACCTAGCAATCCTTTCTTTTCTTCTTGTTTCATGGTCACATTCCCCTTGCATAATTTAATGTATACTTATACTCTAGTATAATTAATCCCTACCTATAATGAATCAATGATAAAACATTTAAAATATAGAGATACGTTAAGTTTTACAAATTATTTATTGATTTGTATAAGGAATGCTAGTCTCAAACTGTATCGATAGGGTGAATTCATATGCCCGCAATATATCTCGAGTTGTTTGCTTCTTTTTTCTTCTTTATGGACATAACAAGAAACTGATATGTTTATCCCAAATGAGTAGTATCGTCTAAAAGTTCTTCTAATTCTTTATCGTCAGGAATCATTCTGGCATCCAATTCTGCTGGAAGAGGTTTAGCAGGTTTGGGTGGTTCTGTAATGGCATTAACAACATAATGGTTATCACAGCTAGTAAGAAGATTAATAAGTCTGTATGAAACAACTTAAGCTCATAAGCGATCAAAACGGTATGCATTCGTAAGACGCTTTTTGAACTTGAGGCAAAACATACTTGGGACAAAATTCATCACTGTCATCCATTTCCTCTCCAAAATAGACACGAAATGCTTTGCGACATTTTTTGCAAATTAAAGTCATTTCCGCAGTCCTAAGTAAAGGATGATCAGCGACTTCATCGTGGCATTCAATGCAATCAACCCAGCGACGACAACAAGCTGTGCGAATGGAAACTTGAGCGTTTAAAACGTGCTTGCTTCATTGGGTTAGTACAAGAATGGTAGAGCAACGAGGTAATAATTTCAGAATGATCATAAGAACGGTACATAAACGTCGAGTTCATAAGATTCTTTTAATTTTATTAACTTACCACATTTTATAAGCGTTAAAGTGGATTATTGTAACGCTCAAATACCCATAAGATGGACCAAATGAAAGCTTGTTATGCAAAGATGAAATTTTTCGAGTAGAATCAAGTATCAGAGAATTGCTTCGAATTCTATAAATCCATTTGATATTTTATACAGAAAAAAAAAAGAAAAGAAATCACACAAGTATTTAAAAAAACTAAAAAAAAAGAAACAAACCCGTAAAGTTTTAGCTCCTTTCTGGTTTTAGCTTTTCTTAAATTCATTCATGCTTGCTTCGTGCAAATGATTAAGGCAAGTAAGGAAAGATGAATTCATAGTAAATTCCTTTGTAAATGCCATTTTCCCTTTCGTTCTGGCGTTAATAAACGTAAAGTTTTCTGAAAGACATTATGATCTTCCTTGTTTAAGAATTTGTCCTGAAGTAGTCATTATAATCTAAAACTTATGATGAGATATCCTGTTATAAATACGATTCATGTCATTCGGGTCAAACATCCATAATCCCACAACTTGATGATCCCGTAACTTATGAATCAAATAACGGTCCACCAGGTGAACATTTTGAGGATTGTCAACAAATAGGTACAAATTTTCTGGAGAATTTCTATTAAGTATCACATAGCCAATCCTTGCAAATTGGTCTTTAACGAGAAAAAAGGTACCTTCAATGGCAGTTTTCACCTAATCATCGTAGTTAGCATCAATTACCCAGTTTTCTGATCCTAAAAAAATAGAAAAAGATATAGTGATCATTGGAACAATATAGAGACTCTTCAGAGCTTACACCATGCAAACTGTCTTCATTCTTATGATAATCAACGTCGCATGTTTTGACAAGCGTATATCTTTCTTGAGAAAAATAAGCAAAATACTAAATTCGATAACATTACAAATGAGGTCGTCATTGTCTCAACCTTTGCAGAGCATCGTATAACCAAAAGAAATGTGATGTTTTAGGAACCATGTTGTATACTTACCCACTGTTGCGAAGGAATATCAAATTGATAAACAGCAACATGAGAAGCAATGTCAATTGTGCTAGTGATCGTAGGGTAATGGAATTTCAGTACCTGCAAATTGACAGCATCTCTAAGAATCTCTTCGTCTTCCATTTTTTGTATGGAAAATAGCTTGATATATAATTCTAAAATATAAAAGAAAAAGAAAGCTTAAGTATTCGAAATTAATAGTTCAGTTTCTGCCAAATTATTGTCTTGATCCTTGGGCTTTGTTAAGGAAGCTAGTTACTCAGTATTCTGATACTTGGATTACTTATGGAAGGGAAAAGTTACGGCTGGATACTTGATGAGATCCAAGCAAAAATTGTTTGTAGATTAACATTATATCAATGATTTATAATAAAGTTGAAAGTATTGTGCTCCCTGATCAAGTCAAATTAGTGGGCTTTTATTACATAGGTTGTTCCAAAGTTGTAGCGCTTGCAAGAGTCAAGTTTTAGATTTGACTCTTTCATTAGTTCATTGATATCTCTATTCCATACACACCCCCAACTCTCATAATGAGATTCAGCATAAGCATTTAGTATTTTATTCAGCCACTCATATTTGCCTTTACCGTGCTCAATGAGCAACATTTGTCCACCAGGGCGTAACAATTGTTTTGCTTTATTCAGGTTATCGACGGCATTTTCTTGTGAGCACAGGCAAAATGTTTGAACGATTGTATCGAACGAGCTCTCCTCGGGTAGTGCTTCTAGTTGTGAATATTGCTTCAGCTGAACAGACTTCGGCACCTTTTTTTCAGCTTTGGTAGAAGCTAGTTTATGCATCTCTTCCGAAGGATCTACTAGTGATAAAGATTGTATTTGTTTCCATTTGTAGAACGAAAAATTTGATCCTGGTCCACTGCCTATTTCCAAAACATGACCCTGTTAAAGTAGTTAGTAATAATTGATTTTAAAGAAAAGAAGAATTGGAGTAAGCTCGATAAAAGATAAGTTTACTTGCGACTCATAATAACTAGTCTTCTGCTGCACGTAACCATCGCAGCGACTTAGGTAAACAACCCTCAACGAAAGCTTTTTCTACATATTCAGTCAAACAGTACCTTTGCGTTCCGTAGGTGAAAAAAGCGTAGGAAGTAGATGCCTGAAAATAATTCTTCTTTTGTAATTTTTTTGCTATATTTCTCAGCAATGTCGTTATAAATAGACACCACTCTTTTTTCTGGAACTACTGGATTCAGATGGGGCTCTGATTCATAGCGTAGAACGTCTTTTCTGATGGTCCATGCAACAGCACCTGCGTATACTCCCACGCCATATATTCCTCCTAAGAACAATGCTTTTTTAAAAAAACCCATAAGGTGTAACCCATTAAATATGATTGTGACAATAAAAGACGGATATTCAAGGTTATCAGGAAACGAAGGTGAAGTATGAGGTTGTTGGATTTGGTGTTCAGGCAACAAATGAAAACGGATCAATATAGTAAAGAGGGATAAAACCCAATGAAAAATAAAAGCATCTATAGACTTTTTTAAATAAGAGCGAGAGACAGTAATGAACTCATTCATGATGATGAATGACCTTTAACAGCATAAACCCATTTTTGAAGATCTAAGCTTAATATGCAGCAAAACATTATCTACTTCATGAGCTGATCCACCACCCAGTCAACGGATAAAGTGCGAAGATCGCTGTACATCTGTCCTACGCCGACAAAGACAATAGGTACTCGTACACTGTACACCATACCGACCATGACACCCACCAATTTTCCAACTGTATCTACTTTTGATATAATAAATCCATCAAGGGGGCGGTGATATAAGGATGCTTGAAAATGCTTGGCCTGGGCTAAGGAGTCAGTACCGACTAATGCTTCAGCTACTTGGAAAATTTTGTCAAGTTTCGTAGCTTTGGTAAACTGGTCAAGTTAGTTATCTAATACAAAAAGAAAGTCAGTTATGCGTACCTTTTCCAAAGAACCCATTAATCTTTGGTCATTATGTCTCCGACCGGCGGTATCAATTAAAATTACATCAAAGTTGTTCTTTTTGGCATATTCAACAGCATTTTTCACGACAAAACTAGAATCTTTTCCATATCCCTGAGCAAATAATTCAATAGAACTTCCTTTCAAGGATTGAAGGTTTCTCACATGCACTCCTAATTGTTCAATGGCTCCAGAACGAAATGTATCACAAGCAGCAACCAAGATTCGAAAGTTGTTTGATAAGAGCCAGTAAGCAAGCTTTGCTAATGTAGTAGATTTACCCACGCCATTGACACCGATTAAAGAAATGGTGTACGGTCTATCTTCATTCTTTTGAACGGCACGAATACTATGCAAAAGATCTAAAGATGTGCTTGGCGTAAGGATTTGAGTCAACGTTTCGCGGAAGGCAGCATTAACCGTTTGCTTCACTGATTCGAAAGAACCCACTTTTTTACCAATCAAAGACTTTTTTACTGATTTACAAAGTTCAAGGCTGATTGAATTGGCAACATTTTTTTGGATAAGGTGCTCTTGCACTTTTTTTAAAACAGGATCCAGATCATCCTCTTTCAGGTATTTGCCTCCAATAAGTCCAGAAAAAAATGAAAAGGCGGTTGAGGAAGTAGCAGAAGGATTTTGATTCGGATCGGCTTCTAAATCACCGATAACGACGTCTCCTTTTTTTGTTTTTTGGAAGTTTGTATCGCCAATAACGTTTGACAGCTGAGAAGACGTAGGAGCTACGTCTGGAGTTTTCCCAGAATAATTTAAAGCTTCTTGCTCTTCGCTCGTTAATTGATCATCCCATTTTCGAAGCTCCTTCTTTCCTTTTTTGCTAGTGGGTGGAGCTTGTCTTGAAGCATGAGCCTTATTTCGAGACTTTTCGCGACTAGGAGCTTTTGGTTTCTCCAGTAGAGTAGTTTCTTGTACATTATTTTTTTCTTTCTCAGACACCTTGCTTAACTGAGCCAACTTGGCATTGTATAACGGCACGAAATTATTTAAAATATCGCTTTCAGTAGGAAGTTTTTTCTTTTGTAACTGTTCTTGAAATAGATTAATAAATACGTTATGCATACTATTCAGCAGTGTCTGCGTAAAAGCTTCAGCTTTTGCATCCTGGAAGGCAACCTAAAGATGTCAGTCATTCACTCTAGCAAAAAAAGGGGGCGAAAGAAGTAATAATATTCTACTAAATAGAACCATTCACACGTGTAAAGTCGCGTTGCGTTTTCCTTACCACAAAAACAATGCTGTTTTGAATTGACTCTTGGAATTGAATCGTAAACCGACCTTGATGAAACGAATTTTCCACATTTCTGCGTTCGCTCAAAAAAGCTTCATAAAATAATACTTGTAAGCATTTCTGACAAGCAGCTGAATCTGATGTTTTCCAGAGCACGATGCCTCCTTTTGTAGTAACGGCAAATAAGTCTAGCATTTCGTTCCTCAGTGTTTCTGTTTTTTTTTCTTTATAAAGCCATAAAAAATCAAGAGATTTCCGAATTGAAATTTGTACAGCGTTTGTGTTCAATCATTCGTATAGTGCTATAGCTACTTCTGATCAGTTGGTTATAGCAACACAACGCAGTCCCGTAAAGTGTTAAAGAGCTGGAACGAGATTCTTGAATCTGGTTAAATAGCTAAGTATGCTTTGGAAATCAGGAAGAGAAATCCCAGTAGAGGATTCTTTTTCCTAATTACTCTCTTTTTTTTTCTTATTGTTCCATTTGCATCCAAAACAATCTGTTTATGTGACTTGTACACGACCTAGTAGCACTGTTACCTGTATGTTGGTTTGTTTACGATGAAAGGCAACTATGCTTTATACAGAAGGAATCAATCAGTTCTTAAAAGAAAACTTTAGACCTCTTTTTTTAATAGTTAACCCAAGAATTTTGTTTATGGATGAGAAAGAATTCAATGGCAGAGAATGATGATTTGAATATCGTCTGTCTGTTCTTTTCTGTACTTTGACGAACGAAAATGGAAACGTTTTGCTGAGGAAATAATAGTAATGTATTAATCTAAAAGTAATGTTACTGTTTCGTTGTCCGTTTACTAATAAACTTTTTTTCAACATAGAAATTGAAAAAGGGAGATCTGCTTTGTTTATGAAAGTGTAAACAAACAGGATACGATTGAATCAACTGATTTTTCTTCTACTTTTAGAGAAGCTGGGGTCATTTGGAAGAATTGTGGTGTTTTAGGCATTCATGTTTTGCTATGAGTACCAATTTTTGCTATTTCGTACTGTAAGTGGAACATTTCCGTTTAAGCTACTCAAACCAATATTTATTTTCATGCCTTTGCTTGGCTCTTTACATTCAGTTAAAGGGGCTTATGAGTACTATATGATCCTTGTATCGATATGAATTGATGTTGATGATAGGAAGGCATATGTGCGATTTTCTGTCGTTTTTCAGAGAGGGCGGATATGACTGCGTACAACAAAAGTAGAGCAAATTGATTCTTGCGAAAAGGTTGGTATTGTCTCAGAATAAATATGCAAAGGTCTGTTATTGTAATATTAAATTGACTATTATCTTTGAATTTCTTTTTCCAGAAAACTTGTAATTCCACTTGATTTATTGAATAGATCTTTTCTGTTTGTCGTCACTTCCCGGGTAACACTCTGCAGCACCTCTCCAACCATAATAAACTGCTTCTTGAGAACCTACTTAACAGAGATAACATGCTGCCTAAACGCGAGAGTTAACGTTTATAAAACCATGTATAATGAGGATTAAAAACAAGCGGTAAGCGCTATAGCGAAAGGCACCAAAAGAAACCGAAATTGATTGATGTCCGTTTTCACTTCAGCAAAACTCTAGCCATTGCCATTGCGTTTCCAATTCGCGTTCGTAGAAGCTATCATGAAGGGATTCTTTTTTTTTTGTGGTGTTAGTTGAGTGAGTCGTTCTTTTCATATAAAGTCCCACGAAGTTCTTCTTCGTTGCTAACAACTTGGATCATTTTCGCTGTTTATTTCGGACTTTTTAGTAATCGTTAGAACATCTTTGTTTTTTTCTCTTGAAATGAACGAAAAAGAGAAAGAAATGTAACCGGAAGTTGCTAAACCAGCCGAATCTCCTTTCTGGGCTTCTCCTGTCAGTTCAGACAGCTGCTTACCGTCATACAGGGAAATCGACTATTCGTCTCATTTGGATGAGTTAGAAAAAGGATGTTTATGTTTACGTCCAATTCGCGCTACACCATGTTCTGAAAAGAAGAGTCAAGCAGTGTCCATGATGCTTCTGAAAATTCCATCACGTCTGTATTATGGTTGATTATCT